GCTAGTAAAATATCCAGTTAACTAGCCCAGTGGGCTAGCCAGGAAAACAAGTTATCGCAAGGCCTGTGTATACAAAAAAGTAGACACTTTTGAAGGCCTCTTTGTTTTTCAGTATTATATTTTTTTGGTATGTCGATAAATTTGAACTTAAAACAGCCATAAGGGAAAAATGCAACATTAAACAGGTGAGTAAACTCGAGGTTTACTTTTACCTCGAGGTTTTACATGGTTTAACAGAGGTTGTGTGCATGGGGTACATGTACCTCAGGGTAAAACCTCAGGTAATCCCTTGTTTAATTGTGCATTCTTACCTAACTTGTCAACGGAATGTCCAATTCAAATGGAACAAACAGTATTGTGAGGAGAACTTTATTCTCTTTCCTTCATGTAATACCCGTCAACCCTCTGTCCAGTTCTGTCCTTTCACCTCCGCCAAGTTCTGTCCCATTTTGCCAGAGCGCCTCACATCATGTATTTCTGGACACGTCAGATGTGACATTTCCAAACAAAATCGGCTTTAATTTCCCATCAGCACATTCACCCCTTTTTTTTGTTCTTTTGAAAAAAATTTGTCCTCTCGACATGAAAGCCATTGATTGTGACGCGCGATGGTGATTTTGTTGCAACGATTGAATTACACCCGATGTCGGTGGTATTTTTTTTTTTTTTTTAGTGGCGATCAATCGATATTGCTTCATATCAACATTTGCCGCTGAATAATGACAACTTCAATTTATTTGGATCGTTCATATGTCACTCTGCAAAGAGATGCGAGGGTGGAGAGAAGGGAAAAAAATCAACATTACTGTCTTGTCTTACAATGTTCGATGATTGAAATTGCAGCTTCGTAAAAGCCCTCGGGTGAAAAGCTCTCTGCCCTCAATAATTCCGCTGCCTACACATCACTTTTGTCGAAATGTGACTCGTAAAAATATTGTCGCAGGAGTTAAAAAAAAAACGTCTGACTAAGCATAATTACTTTACAGACGTACCGGTTCTGTCCATGCTGTCTAACAAAGTTGGTTTTCCCGTTTCTTCTTCTGCTTCTTCTTCTACTTCTTCTTCTTCTTCTTTGAACACATTTCAGCTTGTATGTTTTATTTTAAATAAAAGAACTACCCCTGTAGTTTTGATATTTTTGGCTTCTACAACCCTCTGGAAAAAAATGGCCTTTTTAGATCTCCCTGAAAGGGAACATTGCAATATTAAACAGGTAGCATATTCCTTCAGTGGGTGTGTACACGCGTGTTCCATTTTGGTGCTGTTGACTGTACACGTATAGTGCTGTAATATGAAAAGTCAGACTTCAATCTCAACCAAACTTGGTGACAATAATCTTTGGGTAGGGGGACTTCAGATGACTTAAGACATTTGAGGTCAAAGGTCATCTAGGGGTCAAATGAGGTCATTGTTGATTTCAGAGGTAAACTGTTAAGTGGTCTCATGTGAAAAGTCAGACTTCAATATCAACCAAACTTGGTGACAAATCATCTTTGGGTAGGGGGACCCCAGATGACCTGTGACATGTCAGGTCAAAGTTCATCTAGGGGTCAAATTCGCCATGCCAGGGGGATAAGCAATTTCGACTTGCTGTAATTTTTTGGTTTGCTTTTGTCCGCCAACCATTAACCCGCGGAGTAGACTTGATCCCACTCCAAACATTTTTGATTATGACAGTCTACCCTATGAGAACTGAATTTATTTTCGGGATGCAAATGCTAGAACTGAGTGTACATGTATGTGCGGATTGCAAATAATTTGAAATTTGTAAAATGATTATTCCATTTTTTTGTGACGGTGTCTCGATGTCTCATTCAATAGTGAATTTACCTTTGCATTGCTAGAAAAATAGCAAGTTTTAAAAACAAGTCCTTTTTGTGGTTAGAAACTGGAAAAAAGAATGGACAGTATACATGTATATTTTTAAAGTTGATTCGCAAATTCTTTTAATGAGGTTGAAGGCTTATATTTATGCCGCCTTGGTTCTCGAATAATTCATCAAGAGTGGCATTTCATGGGGTGAACCGTAATCAATTTACAATCCAAAAATAACAGTTGTAAATTTATCCAAATGTTATTTACGGTTGGAAAATCTTTGTCGGCTTTTTGCCTCGGACACGTCGGAAGCAGCGTAATCCACTTTACCGTTGGCAATAAACGTGCCAATGAAATTAGGACTTACATGTACATAAAAAGTTTGTGTCCTTTCCAAATAGGAGGGGGGGGGGGGGATAAGATTTGATAATAGGCCCCGTTTGAATTATAAGGCTTTCAGTACTTATTAAACACAGGTGCAAGGATGCGGCTGAATTTATTCGTGTATACATGTGTACCCAAGTATATGTTATGTTGACATAGCCTACTGATACATGTATGTCAGTTGAGCAATGGCTATGTACATGTATATAGCGCCCTCATGCATTTGACCCAAGAGAAGATGTTACAGTGTAGGTTGGCAGCTACATTGTACATGTATACATGTTGCACATGTACAAAATGCACAAGTTTCAGTTTATCGGTCGTACCGGCACTTGGTACTTGGTTGGTCGTCCTCCAAAATGTTCCATCTGGGGAATTTAAACTGGAGGTGTGATGTGGTGAGAGTGGTCGAGATTAAGTTTTGTCACAAAGAGCATTCTTAAAGGATTCTGGGTTGGTGAGCGCCACTGTTGAGTCTGGGAGGTCATTCCAATGTTTAAGTGTTCTTAGGAAAAATGAAGAAGCATATGTGTCGGTCCTGGCCTGGTGGAGTTGGAACTGTCTATCGTGTCCTCGTCGTGATCTTCCAGTTTTTTCCAGTTTTTGCATATTGGTCAATGTCCACTAGTCCATTCCGGATTAAAAAACAAACAAAAAGGTGCGGTGATGTTTTCTTCTTTCTTCCAAGGGTGTCCAATCAAGATCTTTCATGATAGCAGAGATAGAAATGCTAGTGTCACGCCCATAGGTGTTTGAAACGAACCTTGCAGCTCTTTTCTGGACTTTTTCATAATTTCACAATTTAATACAATACAATACAATACAATACAATACAATACAGTAATGCAGGGTGCATTTCTGTACCATAATTTGGATGTACCGGTACAAGTATGTACATGTGTAAAGTATGTACATGTACCGGTATGTATATGTACAAACCAGTTTGTTTTTTTAGATGTGAGGCCCCCCCCCCCCCCCCCCCCCCCCCCCCCGCCACACTTCTCCCCGCAACCCCCCAAGCTATCACCTGCTCTGTTCAGCTGAAAATATTTACCCGTTTTATTCGCACTCTTGTTCCTTTTTTCCCCCCGGAATGTAAACCCAGCGGAGAATGCACGCAGATGGACAAGAGGGGACATATTAAGACAAGAAACATCTTGTCCCGTCCGCCCACCCTCTAAAAAAAACGAGACGGCGATACAGGGTTGAGGAATCGGCAATTGTGAAAAAGTCTGGGGCGGGAAACCCGAGCGTTGAACAAATAGGCTTTATGCAAGGTCTGTCGGGCTGAGCTCTTCACGGCCTGTCATTCAAGCAGGTGAATCGGGGTGAAAATCAATCGGCTGAGCATCTTGGACAAACGGCTGACGAGATTTGTAGAGGTTTCTTATTTTTTTTGGTTCGTGGTTGAAAGAGGATAATGCTCTCTGTGCAGAGGCGTTTGAATTCGTAATCTGGACGATTCAGGTTAGAGTCGCAAGATGTAACTTCTTTAGATTTTTTGTTTTTGTTCAAGCATCCGGGGGGGGGGGAGATGTGCTGTCTGGAGAAATGCTCAGTCATGTCTGTGAGTATGGGTAAAAGGGAAAGGGGGTAGGGGAAGACATTGACAAGATGTGTGCAACACGTTCATGTCGCATTCAGAATTGATCAGGGTTTGGGAAACAACGGCCTTAACGACTGGTTTATTGATAGGTGGGAATCAGGCTTGTCGAGGATGTGTCCAGGGTATACATGTAGCTTACCACTGAGACGTGATTTTTAAATGCGTTAAGATGCAGTGCACAACAAGACTTGAGCAATAGCCAGCATTTGTTGGTTCTGTGGACTTCCTTTTCAAAAGAGAAACAAGATTTTCTGTGGACTCCCTTTTCAAAATAGAAACACGATTTCCACAGGCTTTTAAGTTGTTGAGAAAATAACACACAAGGGGGATGCTGAAAAGATGTTGTGTGTAGCAATGCTTGTTTATAGTGTAAATCGAGGACACACACATGCAGCATCATCGATGAATTAAGGACAGGAACCAAATCGGGGACGACCTCGATTAGAAAATGTGTACAAACCAATGAGAGCTGTTGCAAAAAAGTTAGAGAATAAACAAGGACAAACATGGATGTACATGTACATGAGTTTGTTTCTGCATTCAATACAGGACGTTGAACAATAAAGGACAATGGCGTCTCCAATTCCCGAAGGTCGCCAATGTGGCGATCGTGTAAAAAGCATATGGGAGGTCTTCCTAAAAAGTTGAAGTACAAACGCAAGAGGGACAACAGGGGGTCCCCGATTGCAGGCAAATACACACTTAATTTTTGCGTGTGTGTGTTATTTCCCAATCAATCTTGAACAAATGGAAACTATTTTTGATCTTGTGTCTCCACTAGCATAGAATTGCCCAAAAACAAAATCTACTGGTACCACCTTGACAAAGTACCATGGAACGTCTTTCTAATATCATTCGCTTTTCAAGAACCTGTCAAGAAATATTTTTGACCCTACCCTTTCTCAATTGACCGACTCCGTGCAAATGTCCATCCATTGAACATCTTGCCACAAATACATGTATGTTGAGTGACATAAAAATCGTTTCGAAGTGTCTGAAATCTATTTTTGGGGATTTGAATTGATACTTCTGGGAACCGATTCCTCAAAAACAAAAGAAGAGGAATCAGAATTACAAACCAACTTTGACTATTTGTGCATGTCAGGTCACTTTGGTAAGGACAAGAACATGTGCCCATCAGCAGCTTTTTTTTAACTTTAAAGTTGATGTTTTGCCTTCATTTATTTCCTTTCAGAATCTGGCCCTGAGGGAGCAGAACTCCATCCGAAGCCAAAATGGAGACGTGAAATCCATCAGCTCGGTCAATCATGAAGATGTGGCCAGCACCAACAGGAGAAACTCCAAGGTGAGTAGTTAGGATGTGACATTTACACACATTTAATCGTAAAAACAAAATAATAAAAAATCAGATTCCGCTCAGAAATTATCCCAAATGTTAAAACGGTAACCAAAATTTTAAAAAAAATGTGACTTTGTATTCACACATTCTACTATCCAGTTTTATTTGACAAAGAATCGAGGATGGTTGTAATTTACAAAACATTTTGAAGCAGATCAGTACTTATTACTTCCTGTCAGAAGATTAATTTACAAATTTAGATTAACAAAGATCTATTGAACAAAAAATATTGTGTGTTCGGCATGAATATATTTTGCTAGGCACAGATCAATGTTTAACTATCCTTGGGTGAGTTCCATGTACGCAAACAGTGCTAACACGCCAATGTTCACGCTGTTTTTTTGCATGACCAATTGGAAATGATTGACAACAGTTTTTTGCATAAAGGTTGGTTAAGTGTGTTTCTTTGCGAAGCGAATTCGTTAAGGTTACAGCGAACATCACTTTTTTGCATGACCAATTGGAAATGATTGACAACAGTTTTTTGCATAAAGGTTGGTTAAGTGTGTTTCTTTGCGAAGCGAATTCGTTAAGGTTACAGTGAACATCACTTTTTTGCATGACCAATTAGAAATGATTGACAACGTTTTTTTGCATAAAGGTTGGTTAAGTGAGTATCTTTGCGAAGCGAATTCGTTAAGGTTACAGCGAACATCACAACGAAACTTCAGTTGTTGACGTCACAAAATTCGTTTTTCGCTTGTGCGTGACGTATGAATTGGCCTTATTTGGAAGGTTTCCCTGGGGCAGGCAGCAGCCTTTGTAGAGTGTTGGCCACAAGTTTAAACCGTGTCCAAAAGCTTCAAGAAACGTTCACCAAATACAACATGTCTTCCTGCGATTCTCACGGTCCCCGTTGATTTCTAAACTCGACTCCCCCACCAATCTTGAAACGAACACAGAGACTGTCCAATGGCTCGATGGACCCTGACGACGACGTCTCGCGGGTGCTGGAGCTCCAGGGCACCCTGGAGAAGCAGAACTCTGAGTTGGGTCAGGCCAAGGAGAGGGCCTCGGAGCTGACGCTGCGGGTAGCCACGCTGGAGGAATCCCTGGCCAAGACGCAGAAGGAGGTGCTCAGGGCGCAGGAGTCGGCTACAAAGTTCCAGCGAGACGCCCGGGAGGTACGTATCTCTGCTCTCAAGTCCGTCTCCCCTCTCTCGGTCTAAGAGTTGATTTCCCTGATGCAGTCAAACCGCCTTGGCGGTAGAGTCGAGCAATGTCAACAAGACAAATCAAAGTCAGTCTTGGCAACTTTGGCACTTGAGCAAGTTGTATTCGAGCTGATGCGTACGTGTGTGGTACAAACTGTATGCTCAGAATTTCTTGGGTCTCAGTGCCAAAGTCCTCCAGACTATATTTGATTGATCTAGTTGATAGCACTTTTACTGCCATGGCGGCTTGACCCCGATTGCCATAATAATAATAACAATAATTACCCTGGATTGGACATTTGGGAGACATCCCCATAGACTTGTGCACACAATTTTTCAAACTTAAATCTGCCCTAACCCAATATTCCCTTGTCCTTTTTCCACGAATTTCGGTACGTTTACTAATTAGACCATGAGCAACAAATATAACCTAATTGCGACAATAACATTGTGCCTCTAAAGGGGGGCTGTGACATTAGGGACCGATGTCTCCCATCGCGTGAAGAAATTACGATAACGTGTCTCCTTAGTGGTACCTTTACATGTATAATGTGGTGCTTATATAGCGCTTTATACCTAAGGTTTCAAAGCGCTTTACAATTATTATCCCTGTTCATCAGAAGTGAGACCATATTTCTGCGGCAGCTCGAGATCAGCGCAATTTGGTCTCTGCCTTCCCAGGCACCCATTGATACTCCTGGGTGGAGAGAGGCAATCAAAGTGCCTTGCCCTAGAACACAAGCACCATGTTCCCCGTCAGGGTTCGAACCCGCGTACCACGGCACATGAGTCGAACACCGTGTAACCATTGGGCCACAGCGACCCACAAGACCAGCTGCGCTGCATTTAGGAAACAAATCCCAACTTGAATCGGACACCGAGACTACAGTCCCAGTAGGATTGTACTTCTTTCCTCCGAAAGATTTGACATTTTGCAGAATAGATCATGCATGGTTTAACATGCTCAGTTTTCCCTCATGTTCTCAAAAGTATAGTCCATCATTTGTAATTTTTGCATTTTGTTCGTTTGAAGCAACAAAAGTGCTCAAAATCTAAAGAAGGGTGCTGAACTACTAACCTGATGAAATTTCAGCTCAGCTTCAGCTGTATATTCCAAGAAAAAACAGCATTCTAGGATCTCGATTTCAAATCAAATGTTGCTGAATCATGTTTTGAATTGGGCCTGAATTCGGCGTCCCAGACACGGTCTCACTGAGCCGATTGCAGCTACGCGATGTCGCGCACTGATCCAACGAATTAAAGCAACCGCGCGCGCGTGTGCGTCGTGCCAAAGCTTGCGCGCGCTTCACCGAATAAAAAAACTGAACTACTAACGGACATTTCCAACGGTGTGTCTTAAGACGCACCGTTGGAAAGGCCTTCTTTCGTTGATTTTTTCAAAATGACAGCTTGCCAGAAAGAATTTTTTTCACAGGGAGTTTAGTCTCCTTACTGGTACCTTTCAACCAAGTATCTTTTTCAACAATGATTACGTCAGTTACTTTTTGGTTAGCTGCAAATGATGGACTATAGCTTTAAAAATGTTTGTCTGATGTTGTCTGGGTTTTTTTTTTTCTAGGCGATGTGTCAAAAAGAGGACATGGAAGAGAGGATAGCCACGCTAGAGAAGCGCTACCTGAACTCCCAACGGGAAACTACCTCATTACATGATCTCAACGATAAGCTAGAATCAGAGCTGGCCAACAAGGACACCTTACTCAGACAGGTAGGGTGAGACAAGGGAGGTTCCGTGGTGTAGATGGGCAATTCCACGGTTACTCACGTCACATTTTTGTTGTACTTTTGAGTTTCCTTGGGCTGTAAATTACCTTAGTGAAAAGGTTTAATAACTGTTATCCCCATGGTAGATAGAGTAGACCTAGACCTGCCTAAGCACCAAAGATGACATCCAGAAAAATGTGTTATGAATGATAAACAAGACGCACAAAATCGGTTACTCACGTTACGAAAATGTAACGTGAGTAACCGTGGAATTGCCCAGATGTACATTTTGGATAATTCGTCGGCAGTGCATTCAAGGGTTGTCCCCTAACTCTCTTTGTGATCATTGAGGGGGTTCACAATGCACTTGCGCATGGTGTCCATTATTGGTTTTGTGATATTATGGTTGTGGGCTTGACTCTGACGTTAGCACAGTAGGTCACATTTGGAATAGGTGTCATGGGCCTTATTCACGAGTCGGCCATATTGGATTGAGAGTGAGGTAAAATCTTCATTTTTGGGATTTGTGTAGAGAAACGACAGCAATGATGTTACAAATTAATACCAGTCTGCTCAGATGAATAATTTAAAATTTGTGATTAAACAAACTCTAATGTTTTAAGCCACATTTTTAAAAAAAATGCAAGCGAGGCTATAGTGAATAAATAGTCTGGCGCAAACCCATTCAACAGTTCACAATTTATGAAATACATTCAGGGAACACAACAAAAATGGCCAACTCGTACATAGAGCCCATATCTGACTTCATGTACAAAAAAATGTAGATGAAATGGTACACTTTTGGTTGACAGAGTAATCAACGTTGTTCGCCTTATTTATGTTTAAAGGTAGAGTATATTATTTGTCATTTGTGGAATTTTTTTTGGAAGCAACAAAAGTGCTGAAATTCTAAAGAAGGGTGCTTAACAACTAACCTGATGAAGCTTTACATGTGTAGCTCATTTTATGCTGTACATGTACATGTATATTCTGAGAAAACAGTATTCTGGGATCTCCATTTCAATTCAAAAGTTGCTGTCATGTTTTGAATTGCGCCCTGAAATCCGCGTCCGGAACACATTCTCATTCAGCCCATTGCAGCTACCGATGTCACGCACTGAACCAACGAATCATAGCAACCGCACGTGTGCGTCGTGTCAACGCTTGCGCGCACCCATTCACGGCTTTGCCGAATTAAAAACAAAGTACTAACGGAAATTTCCAAAAATGCGTCTTGAGACGTATCTTTGGAAGTGACTTTCTTTTATTGTTTTCTTCAAAATGACAGCATGCCAGAAAGAAGAATTTCACCCGTGGAGCTTAGTGCCATTACTATCTTTAAACTAAGTATGCGTTTCAACAATAATGGCTTTTTGGATAGCTGCAAATGATATACTCTACTTTTAACGTATCGATTCTGGCCAAAATACTAGTGTTGCAAGAAGTTGTAATTTGTTCACAATTCCATTTAGAGATTGGACAAAGTTGTCTGCAGAAGTTTTTAAAAAAGTTTGTTTTAACTGCAGAGCGAGGACAAAATGCGGCATTACCAGGAGAAGCTAGAGTTGTCGGAACAGAAGTTGTCGCAGACGTTACGGAAAGCGGAGGAGCTGCCCAACGTGGAGGCAGAGCTGGCCGAGAGAATGGCGGCACTGTCCCAGGTATTGAACAGTTCCTGGGGTCTTACAAAGGTTGTTGAAGCTGCAGACAGTGCAGAAAAAGTCAGGGAAATGTCGGATACATGTAAAACATCATGAGAATCCTGGAAATAACTTATTTTGGAAAAGTTGTAGTGTTCAGGAAAAACAAAAGTTGTCATGAAAAAAATTCCAATTCTGAAAAGAAGGCAGCACTGTCCTACATGTACATGTAGGTAGCAAAGAGTTCCTTGGGTCATAGGAAGCTTGAAAAAAGTCTAGGAAAAGTCGGATAAAAGTCATGATAATACCAGAAAGTTGTCATGGAAAAGGTACCCAATTCTGAGAGAAGGCAGCGCTGTGCTAGGTTCAAGGAGTTTCCGGGTCATAGGAAGCTTGGAAACAATCTGGCAAAAGTGGGATCAAAAGTCATGAGAATCCAAAGAAATAGACTAAAGAGGAATATAAAAGTTGTCCTGGAAAAGGCTTGTGTACATGTATCACACTTTGTGATACACTATTGCTTTTTGTTTGAACAATTTGAGCTGACAAGGAACTGGTGTACATGTACAGAACAAAGACCATTGCAAGCACGATATCACTGTACACACACGGAGGCCCCCGTCAATGGTGAACGCATTTTGCCTGCTATTGTACAATGCAATTGCCCCATGACGGATTATATGAATGATAGAGTGCAAATGCTTTCGCCATTAACCCTCTTGCTATTTAAACAGTTACAGACAGTCAAAATTTCCGTCCAGTTCCCCTTTTATATTTTTAACAAAGGCTAGTCACCAGCAGTCAGATCATATGTCAAGCAAGCACTGTGAAGCCCGGTTCATACTGTGAAGCGAAATTTGTGACGTCAACAATACATTCGAAGCGCGTCCACCATTGTTGACGACATGAAGTTCGCTTCGCACAAGCTTTCGCGTGAAGTATGAACCGGGCTTAACTAGTCAAACTCAGTCAACTGACCATGAACAGACAAAGCAGGCAAGTTGTGGGCACAGCTGGCTTACAATCTCCCACAGCAAAAGCAAAGCTGTATGAGTTACATAAACAGTCACGGCCAGTCAATCCTCCTTTATGTACCGGTAGGCTGGGATTCCTAACTGTTGAAAACAGTCACTTGACTGATTTTGACTGAAAGGACTATTTGGCACAGAATGTACATGTTTGCATAGGAGGGTTAAAGGAGGCATCCGTGAGTGTACAGCGATAACATGCTCGGAATGGTCTGTAGGCTACTATAAGTTATCCCGCGAGCGCGAGTGGAACACGGAATAATGTAGTGCGTCTGTGTCCCACACACTGCGAGGCCAAAGGCCGAGTGGTATGTGGGACACAGACGCACTACATTTTCCGTGTTCTGCGAGAGTGATAACGAATTTATCTTCAAGCAAACTTAGCACACAGTTAAGATGGAACACGCACACATCGCATCTTAGAAAAGTGTTCTACGCGGAGTGCGGTATGGACCGAGGCCGTGTTACAATGTACATGGTTATATGTAGAACGGCTTGTTGCCATGGATCCACCAATCAGGATCGAGGATTCAAGTTTACTTGAAGATAAGATCATTGTAACACGTTTCGACAGTTTGTGATACACCTTTTGTTGTGTTTTATTAAAACTTGAGCAGGCGGAAGAGAGACAGGGCAGCGCCGAGGAAAAACTCCGACAACTACGAAGCGAACTAGAGGAATGTAAACAAGAATTGGAGAGGGTGAGACAACCATGCTTTTTGGGCTCATTCAAAGTTAACCCCCCCCCCAAAAAAAAAAACAACTAAAATTCTTAATGATATTTTTAAACTTTCTGATTTTTCCAATTAGTCAATGTAAACAGACTCTTGCGGGATGGTACATGGGTTGAAACCCTGACGGGGATCATGGTGTTTGTGTTCTTAGGCAAGACACTTTACTGCAATATTGGATTAAAAACAGCCAGCCGACCCTTGCAAGCTTGTTGGTCAAGTTGTTGACTTGGCACTAACAAGCAGCAGGTCTTGGGTTTGAGTCCCACCTAAGCAAGCCTGTGAAGTTTGCCCTCAAATGTTGCCCCCAAAAGTTCATCATACTTTGCTGATAATACTGCTTTGGCTTCAAACACCACGTCATTATTTTATTCCCGTCAATAAATTGTGTTCTAAAGTACACTCTGCCCTTCTGTGGATAGACAGTTTGTTTTTTCATTCCCATCATAAGTCTTTTTTTTCTCCGACGCTGTACAGATAAACTGAATTGCATGATTTATGAAACAATAACAAATATATTTTACATCCATCAATTAAATTCTGTGATCCTGGCCGTATGGCTTGTGGTTTATGGCTTCAGGGCATCCTTGAGCAAAGATATTGACAAATTGGGAACTGCCAAAAAACAAAGGAGTGGAAAGCTCAGTTGGTAGAGCACCGTTACGGCATTCCAGAGGTCATGGGTTCAGTCCACTTTCTTTGTTGTTGTTTTTTTTTTCATCCTAATTCAGTGGACTTGTCAATACAAACACTGTTAATACAAATTCTGGTTACAGCAAACATAAAGCCTTGGTCCCAACTGTACATTTATGTGCACAATGAATAGGACCCACACTCCACTTAATACAACATTCTGATCTAACAAACATTTTGGCTAGTCTATGTAATAGACCCTTGCCCTGGCAAAGCCGGCCATGGTCTATGATACGTGTATGTAAACAGATTTGGCGATTAATTATGCTTACTACACTGCGTATGACCTCGAGAAACTGACCAATCAGCAGGCGGCTACTATACGCGCGTAATGCGAGCTCCCTGCGTGAGTAAACATCACGCCCACGATTTTTGTAAAAGGTGGTTGTATTACAAAAACAGGGCATCGAAATTGACCAATCGCAATCTTAGTCCTGTTTTTGGAATGAAATGACATCACGCATGCTTAGATATATCAGACGTTCCACCGGAGATGGGCTGCATGTAGAACGGGTGATATTGAGACTACATTTTGGCTAGGTCTGGTTGAATTTAGTAACTCTTTCAGTGCCCGCGAAATTTGAAAAGTTTAACCCTAAAAGTGCTCAACTTCGAGCATTTTTTGTAATTGTTCAAAATTCTGTAAAAAAAAAAGTAAATAAGTTTTACTCACTAAATTTGTTGTTGTTGCTCTTTGGTATATCCTTGGTACATTGGAAAGTCAATAGTAGTCACATACATAGTGCTACACCCCGAAAAACTGTCCTGCACACAGGGGAATTCCGCACTTTTTGCAGAAAATATGAGTGTCAGTGCTGCGCCCTCTCGCTAGAACTCGAATGAAACAAATAAATACGGGTCGTACCTGAATGAAAATGAGATTATTAGAAAGAGCGAGAGCGCCCCCTTGTGATAACATGCTTACTCTACACCTCGTACATGTACAAGGTTTGGCGATATTAAGTACGAACATTACCTCATACATGAACGAGGTTGGCACTGTCAAACTAACAAATATACCTCGTACATGTACGACTTTGGCACTGAAAGAGTTAACGAGAGTTGATAGTAATTAAATTTTCCAATGTCACTCATCTTCTTGTTTTTTTTATTTTTTCCTATTTTTTTCCCCTCTCCCTGCAGGCGAGGGAGAGAGAACGGATGAACGAGGAACACAACAAACGTCTTTCCAGTACTGTTGATAAATTATTATCCGAGTCCAATGAACGGCTCCAGCTGCACCTTAAGGAGAGAATGGCAGCTTTAGATGACAAGGTCAGACCCTTTTCCGTTTTTTTTTTACCCTCTTCCTTTGTCGTTTTTTATCTCGTATCTTAGGCTCATTTTGATGTCAGATTATATGACTAAAAGCATGCGCTGATGAAAAAATAGCCCGGAGTATTATCCGATTGTGAGTCTTTGAAATTGAGAGACTTTTTCCCTTTTATAATGCCTCTAAAAGTAGAGGCAGTGAATGTTTCAGTGAATGTGAGTTGACTATGACTAATGCATTTTGAGGTAAAATGTACTTTCACCACAGGAGTCACTACTTTTTGTTCGGCCTTTTTGATATGGATTTCTGTTCCTTGCTCTATGGTTGAAGTGAAGTTTTTTTTAATTGTTCAAATGCTTGAAAAGACTGCATAAAATGTCAGTATTAAATAAGGGTATTATCGACTTTTTTCTAACTCTGCGGCAAGAATTCAAAAGCATGGACACTGTCTTTGTTTCAGGGTTTCGTATTCTGAAGGACGCTTTAGGCGCTGACAAAAAAAATAGCTGAAATGAAGTACCTTGTATGATGTGTCATTCATTTGTATTGAGTGTAGCCTCAAGCAGCTTGGCATTTCAGTATCTTTTCAGGCATTTTTTAAGATCACTCCGCACTTGTCATTGATCTTTTGTGTTAATTTGCTTTCGTAAGTGGAAAGAAAACATAATTCTCGAGTGGTACGGGAAGTATGCCATATACATGTAGTTGGTGTATGAGTAATAAAAAAATGAGTGGTGATGTTTTTCTTTAAAAAAAAAAAATCTAGCCACTTTGCTTCAGGCACCAGCTTAATGATTAGAAATATTGGCTATGACTCTGTCTGGTTCCCTACCTCCTACCCGCTGCAAGTCAATTGAAGCCTGGTATTTGAACATTTACACTTGTAGCCATAGCCTTGCTTCAGAAATTCAGAGGTACATGTACTTGAAGCAAAAGCCACCTTCTAACGGTACAAATGGGGCTTGAGATTCAGAGAAGAAAAGGCCTTTCATCTTGCATAACCTGTTCATAGCCGCGGGGCCAATTTGTCTGAAGTCTTTGGGGAAATTTTACGTAAAGGATATTTGCAAAACATGCTGACTGAGATGTCTTCACTGATATTTAAGAAATTGAATGGAATCTCTCGTGGTCCTTAAGCTGAAAGTTCAGTGGCTCCTGATTTTGTTTTTATAACAGAGAACTCAGAGAAGTTGCTACATTTATGTATGTCTAATACTGCGTACCCTGTTCCACTGATTATAGTAATTTTTTCATTTTAGAGGGCCTTTTTATTTTCAGTTACACGCAATACATTAAACTATATCTTTATTTTACCTCGTGACATTTCAACTTTGATCAGATTGCTTGGGCCTTTCTTATTGTTTTGTATGATATTTTTGTAGTTAAATACTTATAAAATTCATTTTTGTGTACTTTTTAATACAAAAAAAAATGAAGGATGTCTCTACATGGCAATTTTTTTCATCAATTTGTCTAGCAATTTTATGTGACAAAGGATGAAAGAATGTACTGTGGATGAAAGAGTGCACCGTACATGAAAGCAGTTATCATAAGATCTGAATTTGCTTTCCAGAACGCTCTCACGCATGAACTCGATAAAGTCAAAAAGTTCATGGATGAAATCCAACTGGAGAGCAAGAGATATCGGGACGAACTGGAGAGATACAAGGTGGAGCTGAAGATAACCAAGGAGAGGTTGGCACAGCAAGGAGCTCAGGGTAGCACAAGCAGTATTAGGTGGGTAGAACTGGATAGAACCGGCAGGAACCAGTCAGAAGTACTTTGTTCTTTGGTACAATGAGGTTTGGATTGAGAGTGATATGGAAATATAAAAAGGACACAATAATAGGTGCAGCTGAAGATAACGAGGTAGAGGTTGGCACAGCAAGGAGCTCAGGGTATCACAAGCAGTATTAGGTGGGTAGAACTGGATAGAACCGGCAGGAACCAGTCAGAAGTACTTGGTTCTTTGGTACAGTGAGGTTTGGAGTGATATGGAAATATAAAAAGGAAACAACAATAGGTGCAGCTGAAGATAACGAGGGAGAGGTTGGCACAGCAAGGAGCTCAGGGTAGCACAAGTGGTATTAGTTGGAGAGAACCAGATATAACTGGTTAGCTCTGGTTACAACTTGTAAGAAGTGCTTTGTTCTTTGGTAAGATGAGGTTTCAATGGAGAGTAACAAATTTTGAAAACTAAATGAAATAGCACAAGTTTAGAGCTAAAGATAGAGCCAAAGAAAGATATGCATAGCATACCATAAGCAGTATTAGGTTGGTAGAACTGGTATGAAGTGGTTAGAAATGGATAGATCTGGTTAGAACTGGATAGACGTAATGTAACTTATTTTTTTTTATTTCCTGTGATCTGCAACAGTGAAATGGGACCAAGCCAAGCGGTCCCAGACGTAGTCATCGCAAATGCCACGCAATCGTCAGGCTCACTAGAAGATGACGAATTTGACATGGCGGGTGTGGTCAGACGGCAACAACCCGGCCGGCTACAAGCCCTCAAAGCTGACCCTGCGAAGGTAATGTGTCTCGGGGTGTCTGAGAGGGTGTGTGTCAGGGTCTGTGGTACTGAGTTCGACTAAGTTGGCAAAGTCTTAAAAACTCTCAAGTGTGAACCTAAGTTAACATGTCTCTGGGTGTATGGGAGGGGTTGAGTTTGTCTTACATTCACTATGTGGACTTGTGAACAAGAGATGTCCACATAATGCAGGTTGTGTTGACGTTATGTGGACTAAGCCGTGTCCACATAACATTTTGCCCTCTCTGGAAAACAGGTTTAGAGGCATTTTTGGGTTAGGTTTATCAGTGGCAAAATGCAGAGAAACACTAAAGGGAATCATAGAAAAAAAATTGGGTTGAAAGAGTTTTCACAGTTAAAGTAAAGTTATTTTTTGTGCCAAGTTTTCTTAACTACACGAAAACAAAGGAATGTCCGCGTAGCGTACGGTATGTAAAACAAACATGCGTGTGTCTGTCTTGGTTTGACTTGGCGGGCACAGTCAAAGACAACAGCCTGGCTGTCTACAAACCCTCAAGTCTGACCCTACTAAGGTAATGTGTCTCGTGGTGTACGGGAGGGGGTATGTCAGGGTATGTGTCAGGGTGTGTGACACACATGTAGTCAGACGGCAACAGCTTGGCCGGCTTCAGGCCCTCAAGTCTGACCCTGCAAAGGTGATGATTCCTTGGGTGTGTGGGGAGGGTTGTTTTGGGGTGTGTGTTACTTGGTTCAGAATCTCAAGTCTGACCCTAATACAACATGTCTGGGGGTATGTGGGAGGGGGTATGTCAGGGTATGTGTCGGGTTTGATGCATCTTTCAGGTGGATGCAAGGATTTCCCAGTGGTTGACGCAATGGCTTGTCAGTAACAACATTTTTGGTTTTGAAAATGATTTTGCTCTTATGACCTTTACAGAATTTTACCAATAGAGGGCAGCAGATTTGTATACCTGGGTTTTTTTAATGGATATTTGGTATGAAATTGTCATTTTAGTAGTTTCTTTTGAAACCCTGGATAAATTTATTTCTAATTTAATTTTGGATTGAATATCCTAATAAAACAACTTGAGTTATCCTGCTACCCCTATTTGTTGAAACTTGACTATTCCGCTTCTCTGATATCGAATACTTTCACACTACTTTGTTGGCCTGTTCCATTTCTTTGTAGTGACTATTTCTCTACACCTTTTTTTCTTCCTGCATCCTGTCACCTACCACTTTTCATGTCCCTCGTGTCTGTAATTCACCCAACCCCCAAAAGTGCTCCCCACTTAAGGTCTTTGCAATGGAATCACCCAAGGTAATGGACAGATGCATGCAACATGTTTTTGGTTCAATTTACTTTGTAGAGTAGGGTAGATTCATCAGGGTCATTGTTTTTTGTTTTATCCATATTGCATCATTTCCCCTATCGTATAATTGTCTGTCTGCTTAGTTTGCATGTGATGCTGATAAATAAAATATTTGACATTGGAGATATTTTTTTTGACAAAAACGAGAAGTTTAGTTAGAATTTTAGTACAACTAAGCAATTAATCTACTAAACTGTTAGCAGATGTGGAACCTGTAGATGCATTTTTCTTGTATATACTGGCAGTCAAAAACGTTTTTTTATGAGTATTTTTTAGTATATAAATGTACAAAAAAGGCTTCATTTGAGCAATTTTATTTCTTGAGAATAACAAAACTGTTTAAAGACAAGGTTTGTCAAATTTTACATGTAAAACAAACTGTAAAGTGTTGCGAGTATGCTTGTTTTTAAGCATTGAAAAGAAAGAAAATGCAATAGTCCAACTTGTGATATCAATTTGTAAATTTTCTAGAAAATTGGATGTTATCACAATGGTTGTTTCTGTATGTCTGGAGCAGTCGACAAATTGTTGCAATGGTCACTGTGCAGTGTGTAAGCTGTCTGTAGCTATTCTGCATTGAACACAATGTCTTTTCCCCCTCTCTGTAATGTCCATTATCTCATTTTCATTTTCCCTTCTTGTAACTTCTTTCTTCATTTTCTGTAATTACTTTCCAGGGGGACTAGAATATCACATACATGTACATGTACCAGTAGCTATGCTTTATTTAGTCACATGTAGTTCAAGTCTTATTCAGAGTAGTAAAATAACTGTAATTTCCTGTAAATGAAAATGCATAAAGTGACAGAAAAACACTTGATGCTGAATGGCAAAATTTGAAATGTTATTATTTTGGTCTACGTCTTAAAAAAAAAAAAAAAAAATGAACAGTATGGCAACCTGTGAGCTGAATTGTACTAAACATTTGTACATGTAATACTTTCTTAACAACAAAGTAAAATTAATACGTGTATTAAGAAACAATGAGCTAAACAAAACTGGCACAAAACTGTCATCACACTTCTGATTAAAAAGACAAGCATTATTAAACAAACTAAAATCAATTATGGACAGACAAAAAAAATGAATAAAAATATGCAGGTATCGGATTAAAAACGGATCTTATAACAATCACACAACAAGACAAAGCATTACAGTGTACTACTATGGACATGTCGAATTGGTCAGCTTGATTATCCTACGCTAGCTACGTGTATAATGTAGCTTCAGTTGTATGGACTCGGTGCGCAAAAAGTAGAGGGCGCTTTGTGGCCACTTTCGAAAGCCCCAGTGGGAGGGACCCATGGCGTGCGCGTACTGGTTTGTGCGCATACTGGTTTGTGCGCATATGGCAGGAGGTACGCACGACTAATTTCATTCTAAATGTACGCAAAGTCATGTACCGTACATGTACATGTGTGGCATCTTCGTGTGAGCGTAAGGCGTCATCGCCAATGCATTCGAATGTCCCTCCCAGTGGTCCTCCCATACTCTCCTTTCTGTAACTGTTGAGGGGGTACTTGTGCACGGAGTCTATACAGTGTTTGAGATAGTATGAGTTTTTCCAGTACTTATATTGTTGGGTACACTGCAAATTTGAATTGACTGCAAACGGAATTTGACTCCTATGGAAATCAGAAGCAATTGAAGAAATGTTCAAGTCGACCATGTCCACTGTTTGTGCGTTGCTCTTTTTGTTTACTTTATTGTTTACTTGTTTGTTTTGTCAACAGGTCAACACTCTCAACGAGCAGGAATGGGAGAAGGCCGAGCAAGCCAACGTCCTGGCCAACATTGCCCAGGCGTTTGAGAGCGACGAGGCGGCCGCCCATTCTGAGGACGAGTCCGAGTCTATCTTTGGGGCGGTGGACATGCTGTCGCCGCAGGGCCACACGGACGCGCAGACGCTGGCCGCTATGCTTCAGGAACAGCTTGACGCTATCAACAATGAGATCAGGTAAGGTCTTGGATATGGACTCTCTCAATTTGGTGTTTTATCGCTGTATTCATAGGGCTGTGCCACTGGAAGCAATTTCAAGGGAACTTATTTCTTGCAACGTCCACGAAGAAACAACAGGAAAATTTGATTATGTGTAATGTGGCCTAGTGATTAGGGTTTATGACTCATGATCAGAGGGCCAGGGGTTTGAATCCCGCTGCTGGTCATTATGCTGTGCCCTTGGGCAAGCCACTTCACCCCCACTTGCCTCTCTCCACCCAGGAGTATAAATGGGTACCAGCATTAGCTGGGGAGTAACCTGTGATGGACTAGCATCCCATCCAGGGGAGAATAGAAATATTCTCAGTTGTTTCACGCCTAGGAAACCGGAGATAAACAGACTCGTGACAGACTTTGCTACTACAATACAAGGTGAATCATGGTTGGCATGATTGCAAACATGTATTGGAATTTGTGACACCACAGAGAGTATTCAAATTCACAAGCATGGCAGACATTTCAGATCTGCCAAATTTTTCCATAAATGCTTGGTGTCAAGTTCGATTCAAAATGTGAAATAGGCCCAATTTCACAGCGCTGCTAAGCACACGTTTTTATGCTAACAGAGCCTCTGTCTATTTCATGGACACCGTAAGCATAAGCACAGCAAAAGGCATGCTTACCTCCTAGGAAAAATTTGCTTAACTTGGTGACGTAACAATAGAAATCTCCATGCACACGCGACGGTTAGCACACACACACCGTGAAATAGTGCTTAAGGTTAGCAACTTTTTCTGCTATGGTAAGCACAAAAATTTGCTTAGCGGTAAGCAGCGCCATGAATTTGGACCTTAGTCTCACACGTTTTTTGTGGTTTGTTGAATTACATCCTCAGGCTAATCCAAGAGGAGAAATTTTCAACGGAGCAGCGGGCAGAAGAGATCGAGCACCGGGTAGGCACCGGCAGCGTCGACAACTTTGACCTCTTCCAGGTCAACACGGGCCGCAGCCGCTACTACTGGAACACCGAACCCCGCAACCTGACTCGCTCCTTACCGGGCAGCATGGTCATGCACACGGACCAGGAGAGAATATCGCCCCCGGGGAGCGAGGACTCCACGCCCCGGATCGAGAGGAGGGGGAACGCGGTGGACGCGCTGGGGAGCCAGTACAGCTACAGTCAGCCGCAGATCCCGAATCTGGCCGGCCTGGACGGGCCGGTGGAGGAGGGTGAGGGCCCTGGCTCTACTGCCCAGGTACGGCGTCAGCCAAAGTCTTTACTTGACTCTGGTGTCATCTTGCTTAGCATCCGGGATAAGTTATGAACAACATCCACAACAGGCCCATTGTATCGGGGATTAGTTTCACGTTTCTGAATAACTTTCCCAAAATCTACCAAACCGAAGTTATGAAATCACTACATCGTTACGGGGAGAATACAGGGAGGTTGTTCTGAATCTGCAACTTATAGACGAATCTTGTCACGTAATCACTGTACACGCAAGAGGCCCCTCTCAATGGATAAACCACTGTGCATGCTATGGTACCAAAGCAACTGCACTGTGATGGATTACCTGAACAATAGCTAGCACAATGCTTTCGCCATTGAAGGGGGCCTTCGTGATAGAACTGGTAGCATGCCGGATTGGTCTACACTCGATACAGTGAGGCAGTTGTAGATCAACTTTTTCAGACACTTGTACGCAATATTTAACGAGATAACTCCAAAAGCGAAAAAAAAAGGTTTTTAAAATGCTGCTTACTTTTTTGAGCTGCTTTGGTTTTCAAGCAGAGTTATGTGTAACTTAATCACCTCAAGCGAAAACAACAAAATTGGTACTCGATTTGAACCAACAGATGCAAGCAGAATGGTTTTTTTTTCGACTTCTGTCAGCTTTGCTTAAAAAAAAAACAATACTGGATTTGAAGCATCTAATGCAAAACAGATTGCAATTTCAGTGCTCTAGCTGCTGAGCTAATCAATCACTAAAAGCTTTTTAATTTTGGCTATAATTTTGTTTTATATTTGGCAATTTCTGAAACATCTGGGCCCAATTTCACAGTGCTGCAAAAAAAACCATTTAGCAGACAAGTTGTGCTTACATTATACAAATATTGAGTGGCTCAGCGTGGAATGGGAGGAATATTATCGCAAGGTAAAATCTGGACTTTTCCATTTCACGAGGCGAAACCGAGTGAACTGGAAAAGTCCAGATTTTACCGAGCGATAATATTCCTCCCATTTCACAATTTAAAGCCACTCAATATTTGTTTTATATAACTGACATATAGATCCTTGTCATTTGATATATTTGAACTTTTTTTTAATACAAAACTGGAGGAAACTGTATTTCTCTCTTCAAAACCACCCTTTCACGAAAATGGTTGAACCCAACGCTGTAGTGCTGGCTCTTTGGAACAATACGCGCAACGCTGAACGCGCACACCAGCACGCATTTGCACACAAATACCGCGTCATGATCCTAACTGTTGAATAGTATTTCCCATTCCCCATGGGCGGATAGTACTTTTTGAGCCGCGGCATGAATGGGAGCAATAACAAATGCCACGTGATGTGAGTTCCACCAATCAAATGACAAGGATCTGTATGTCGGTTATATAATTACTTTTAGCCGAAAATTGTGCTAACTTTAAAGCACTATTTCATGCTGGGGGCGAGCTAATGGTTGCGCACGCATGGAGTTTCTATTGTTATGTCACTCATTGAAGCAGTTTTTACCTCTGGAGTTATTGAGCACAGCCTTTTGCTGTGCTTACTGCTTATAGTCTCCGTGAAAAAGACAGAGGCTCTGTTAGTACAATCGTGTGATAGCAGCGCCATGAAATTGGGCCCTGATTATTCCTAACAGAACGTCATGAAATTCCACATCCCCGTGCCTTGTGAAAACATTCCTAGAGTTTGAAAAATTTGAATGCGAGAGTTGGCTGTCTTTGCCACATTTGTAATTCCTAGAAGTCTGGGAGTTCTAGGTCTGTTGCATTTTAAGACTGGAGTTGGTTTTTGTTTTGTTTAAATGCCACTTTTAGCAATTGCAAGAGCAATATTCAGCACTTGGCACAATTTGCCGGCTTTTCACCGTTATTTACATTCAATTTTTTTGTTCATGTGGCGTCGTAGAAATTTAGCAACGGGTAGACGTTTTTGCTGTTGTCGCTAATTGTATAAATTTGTCCGTGTTTTTCCTTCCCCTGTTTTTACTCCCCCTTTTCTCTTTTTGCCCCACCCCTTCCATGTTTTTATTGACGTGGTACTATGCTTTGTAGCGCAAAGGCGTGTACAGTCGTTCAATGTCGCTGTCCGAGTCACAGCTTCACTATTGGCAAAGAGGCCGCAAGGTTTGAGAACACACGTTTCTTGCTCTCGCACGTTGTTTGCCGAATGATGGAATGATTGACTGAAAAATGAACCAGACAAAAAAAAAAAGACCAAACAATTTGCCTGTTGCACGGGATGTTTTCTTCATCTTCGTACGAAGCCCAACCTGAATGGACTCTGTGCATGACAGCGCCCTCAGCGGCAAAACGCAAACCAGTACTGCGATTGGAGGACACACGAGCGCCATTGCTGCCGCGCGACTGCACTCAAGTGCGCTCCTCTACGAAGGCGTGCAGGTCAGGGATGTAGTCAAGTCCATCACAAGTCCCTGCAAGTCCATCACAAGTCCTCCAGTCCCAGTTCAACTCACAAGCTATTCAAATGAGTTTCGACAAAGGCATTCTTTCTGGTTATGTGCTCCGTGCGCTACCAAAAGAGGGCGCCCTTTCACCTAACAACAACGTCCCATGGGCGGGACATTTCGCTGGTTGATGCGCACCGTTCCTTGTGTGTGATGCACGTACACCAGGGGATTTGTACTATGTACATGCAGTGGCCGCGCTTCGCGGCAAATGAATTGCAGTCGGGCAAGATGGCGTCGGGCGGTCACCCCCAACTGTACTTCCTTTGCCGGTGAGGGGGTGCTTGTGAACAGAGCGGATTGTTCATCCACTATTACTTGTGATTGGACTTGTGATTTACTTGTGATGGACTCTTGATGGACTTGTGATTGACTTGACTACATTCCTGGTACGGGTAATGAAAATGGGTCTTGCGTATTTGCTGCCATAACCACGCAAACAGTTCGCACACGCTCCGTGTCTCTCGTAAGTTTTCGTAAGTTCTCGCGAGTAGTCCACAAGGTGCCACGTTACATGTTGTTGCACAGAGTCCAAAACATGCTGAAGCAATAGTCTGCTCGAGGCGTGATTTTTCTTTTCGAGTTTGAGCCAACAGAATGTTTGATTTGGTTCTTTGGTTTGCAAGGCTTGCATCTGAAGTGCACTTTCTCCGGGCCGTGATATTGGTCTCGTTTTGTTTTGATTTTTTGATTTTTTTGATTTTGGAATTGTGGATTGCAGTGTGCATGCTTGTCACATTTCACATAAATACTCTCGTATGGCATTAATCAATAAACTAAATTGGAATGTTTTTTGGTAACCTGATAGGGTTTTAAACAAGCTAAGATGCTTATGTATTGTTGTTAAAAAAGTGTAAATTTCTGGCACAGACAGTTTCTTTTCCATTTACCACCTGCATCATGTTCACCTCTGCTTTGATGAAAATGCACAGGCATGCAACTTTTCCTCGGATCCGCTAATCTCCTCGTTTTTTACTTCTCATGAACACCATTACAAAGTGAAAACAAAGTACAAAGTCTTGTGTGGTTTGGAATATCCTCGTTTTTTCCTAAATTCGCAGTTGCATGCCTGATTGCAGTCTTCCATCCATGAACATTTTTGTCCCATTTATTCTTTTTTTCCCCCTCATAAACTCCAAATGCTGCCATGTTGTCGCTCTGAATTTTCAACTGGACGTTTCTGTATTAATCACTTACTCTGTGCCATCCCTGTCTCTCTACTCAAGATAGTCATTATTCTCTCTTCTGTTTCCCATGTCTTTCTCTGCTGGAAAAAAAAAGTGTTTAACCTGTTCATGTATCATAAGCATTGCTATTATTTTTTGGTTTGAAAAGTCGAAAAGATACCCAATAACAATGTGCACCGTGAACTGAAGGCCAAGTAAAAGTAATTGAAAGTTTCTTGTTCCAAAAGTTTCTTATCGTATGAGCCAAAATGGCGTTTTTGCCAATGTCATCTTTTACAACAGATCCTTCATATGTTTAAAGAGGTTGTGGAATGCTCGAAGACATTTCCGTCATTTTTTGGGTATATGTAGCCTAAGGTGTGATGAAATAAAAACGACTATTGTTTCTGTCATAAAATGAGTACAAAAGGTACTTTTGAGAGCTGTTTTTCAAGTCCTGTCATGCCTGTTTCGACCCGAACGTGCAATTTGTGTAGAAGTCGTCGTTGCGGGCAGCAAACAAAACACAGTAAATCGTGACGTAATAAACAGGACTCCCGATGCAGAGTAGCATAAACGAGTCCTGTTTATTACGTCACGATTTACTGTGTTTTGTTTGCTGCCCGCAACGACGACTTTTACACAAATTGCACGTTCGGGTCGAAACAGGACCTGAAAAATAGCTCTCAAAAGTACCCTTTGTACTCATTTCATGACAGAAATAACATTCGTTTTTATTTCATCACACCTTAGGCTACATATACCCAAAAAATGACGGAAATGTTTTCGAGCATTCCACAACCTCTTTAATTTGGATGTTTCATCTCAGTAATAACTCCATCCATAATTTTTGATGTCTTGCGTAAAAAGATGTTTCATAAAGCATGGACAAGATACGACATTTATTTTTCATTTGGCCTGTTACTGTTAAGCAGCTACCCTGTGACATCACAGCACTCGCTCCATACTAACATACATGTACACGTCGAGTAGCATGATGGTAAACTACATACCTAGAGCATGAGAATTTGCTGCCTTATGGAAAGTGCTATAACAATACGTATGATTTACATTTAAATAACTGAAGTATGTAATGTTGCACTTTTTAATGAAAAGGAGAAGTTAATGATGTCAGTGATGCCCCAAAAAGATGCTGTTGAAATACACATGGACATTTTTGTAAATAGCTCAGTTTTGTCAATTTGGCCAAGATCTGCCAGTTCATTTGTATGTGAGACATACATGTGAACCGTATGTCGAAATTTCTGAAATTCAAAACTCGATCTCAATCGTCAGAGAGCAGTTTAGAAATATCCCAAATGGTGTATCTTAAATTGGATATTCCAATTATTAAGTTAATTGCGTGCAATGATTATTAACATTTTAGAAGCAGATTTTTTTTGCCCACGTAGATGCTGTTTATTAAACTCAAGAGGAGTTTAACTCAATTTGGACTCAAGCGATGAACTTAAGAGCAAGGGTCATTCTTTCTCAAAGTGTCACCTTGAACAAGCATGCAACTTTTCCTCGGATCCGCTGATTTCCTCATTTGTTTAATACTTCTCATGAACGCCATTACAAATGCAAAACACTGTACAATGTCTTGTGTGGTTTGGAGCATCCTCGTTTTTTTAAAAATTTTCCAGTGGCATGCCTGCTTGCAGGGTGATTGATTTTTTGTAATCGTTTGTTTTGGGTCTTGCAGCCTCTCCGGGGTACGGAGGAAGTGACAGAGGAACAGACCTCATCACAGCCCAGGACTACCCCGCTATCGCCGCGATCGCAGCAACTAGAGAAGATCGCTGCTGCTATCACTGCTCAGGGGAATGAACAAGAGCAGAGAAGGTACAGGCGCTGTCAACATAAACAATGAATAAGATATTGGGATAATGGTGTGGTAGAGCAGTTGTAAATGTGTGGTTTATAACCCGGTTAATGGGACCTGGCCACCGGTTCCAGAACCGGTGTTATACAGGAAAGAAGTGGTATGAACTGGTTTTTACCTACATGAACATGTACATGTAATTGAAGTGGTTCAACCTGGTTTACTGGTTCAAATTGGTAATACCAATAAGTTATATGGGGTTTGATGGAGCAGTTGTAAATGTGTGGTTTTAAACTGGGTAGGGACGTGGCCACCGGTTCCCATGAACAGTCAGGTTAGAACTGGTTTAATACTGGAAAGAAGTGGGATGAACTGGTTTTTACCTACATGTACTGGTAATTGAAGTGGTTCAACCTGGTTTACTGGTTCAAACTGGTAATACCAATAAGTTATATGGGGTTTGATGGAGCAGTTGTAAAAGTGTGCTTTAAAACTGGGTAGGGACCTTGCCACCGGTTTCCATGAGCAGTCAGGTTAGAACTGGTTTAATACTGGAAAGAAGTGGTATGAACTGGTTCTAACCTAAATGAACTGGTTCAACCTAGATTTGAATTGGTTCAAACTGGTTTACCGGTACCTTCCATTCTTATGGGAAGTTCCTTGATCTCAATAATTTTAATACTGAAAAGTGGTGGTTTAAACTGGTTTGAACCTGGATGAACTGGTTCAATCTAGTTTTTTTTTACTGGTTCAAACTGGCTATACCTCCCATCATTTTTCTGCCAGGGGTTCCTGGAGGGTTAGATCTCAACTGTTTCAATACTGACATGAGGCGGTTTAAACTGGTTTGAACCTGAATGAACTGGTTCAAGCTAGTTTTTAACTGGTTCAAACTGGTTTATCTCCCATCCTTTTTCCCAAGGGGTTCCTGGACAGTTAGGTCTCAACTGTTTCAATACTGAAATGAAGTGGTTTAAACTGGTTTGAACCTGAATGACCTGGTGCAGTCTGATTCTAACCGGTCCAAACTGGTTTTCCTTCCATGTTTCCCCCAGGGGTTCCCTGGACAGTTCTCACAGTACCCCGAGCCCCCAGTCCAGCAACAACAGCAGCCAGGACTCGCTGCACAAGCAGCAGGCCAAGCGGCCGGGCCTGAAGGGCTCGCTAGGTAGGTTATTTGGTGGCAAGAGAGGTGACAAGACCGGCTCGCTACGCAGGGGAAAGGAAGGCAATTACAGCGAGAGCGAGAAAGGTAAACAAACAAACAAACAATCACCCCAACAAACAAAATTCAAACCAAAAATTGACATTAACAAAGAAGTCCCTTTCTGTTTCAGTACTTGTTTGCTCTTTCATTTTGAATTTAATTTTTTTGTTCAATTCCTGCTGCTTAATATTTTTTTCACCTATAATATTCAAATTTGAAGCCTTTTTTTTATTTATGGGGCAATGCTGTGGGCCCAAATGTAACTTTTGATTTGGCAAATCACAGATTTTTTTGACGACCCTTTGTTTTTCTTGTGAAAATTTCAAAGTGTTTTTTAGTGAAATCGATAAAAGCGACAATTGATTCATATTTCAGTTCATGACCAAAATGTTTAAGTAGGAGTTTTTCAAAAAGATAATTTTTTGTTGTCTTCCATTCAATTCGCAATAATTACTAACTTCCCCATACTGTCCCATGCTTTTGCTATCCACCCCTACAACTTCTACTAATTTCTCCTCAGTATATTTGCCCAAATCCTAATTCAAGTAGAATCCCGTTTCTTTATCATCACCCGTCTGTAAAGTTCGTTGTCATAAAAATTGAAAAAATGGCAAAACTAACATGCCCTTGTTCCAACAAAGTCCATTAATTTTAACTCTTATTATTTTTGAATCACTTTGACAAAATCATTCAATGTTGTTTTTGTTATACATTTTAGGTTCCATATTCTCTTTTGTCAAGCTATGATTAAGTTTACCTGTGAAAGTCGTAACCTTCATTCAAGGAATGATTAAACAGGCATGCAACTTTTACTCAGATCCGCTGATTTCCTTGTTTTTTACTTCTCATGAATGCCATTACAAATTGAAAAACACTGTACAAAGTCTTGTGTGGTTTGGAATTTCCTCGTTTTTTTCTAAATTCCCAGTTGCATGCCTGATTAAAGAACGGTGAAAAAAAATTGTTCAGGGTTCCCAGCCACTCTGGAAATCAGGGAAAACCTTGAAAATGACTTTCCATTTACAGTCAGGGAAAAGTCAGGCAATGTGGGGGCAAAAAACACAACAAAAACAGGGAAAACTCAGGGAATACGACAGTGACCCAGAAGGGAAAGGTTTTCGCCATTTTGGCGTAGGTGCGTCTTGTGCCAATGTATCCAAGTTGTGCCCATATGCACTGACTGACTGGCTATGGTGGCTTGTTAGTGTTTAAACAGTGTGAATATTACATATACATGTACGTGTACATACCCTCTTCAGACAGTAACAATTGGCTGTGAAAACAGCATGGGGAAACGCAACTTTAACCACAATTTTATTGCTCACATTCAAAGTTAAAATATGCAGTGTGTGCTGTGCACAATGTTTGTGGCTTGAGTTTTTGTACGTTTATACATGTTTTTGTTCTGTAGTGTTACTGTCCGTTTTGTTGGATGTTGATGCCTTGATCGCTGCTCTGCATTGGTCTTCGTTGGCAAGATTCACAGTTCAGCAAGTGAAATGAATGGAGAATGTCAAAAGTTTTGAAGCGAAAGTGGGCATGCAATGAAAGATGTGTTCACTGTGTGCGCTTGATTCTATTTTGCTTTTTATTTTCACTTGCTGCAGCGCTTTTTGATTTGATTTTTAAAGTGGCAGTATCGGGCTGGACCTTCCCTCCCAATTTATTTGCAAATTTGCATTAACTTGGACCAAAAAATTACCTTAGTTTGAAAGAATCTTGCTCCTATATTGGTTGTTTTTTTATTTAAGCAATAGTTACAGGCTGATTAATTATATCGATAAGATTACAATCCAATTACATCAACAACGTATGCAAATGAGAATACAAAACATGCATATGCATGAATCACTTCAGTAACGTCATGAAAAAGCTTGTCTTTGTCCGACCCCCTAACTTGATTGCTCTCGCCTTGCCTTGATCAAAAATACCAATCTCAAAATAAATTTACCCACAAGCCTTTACTTTGGTATGAACAAATTTGACCCCATCTTGACCTCCTCTACTGTGACCTTTGACCTTTTGTCCTCATCTTCAAATGTCACCCGACTTGACTCCATCTGTCATACCTTTCTCGCCGAGGACAGACTCGCCTTGTATTTGCCTTTCTTTCACATCTCATCTGAGCCTGTGACCGGTTCCATCTGGTATGGACTGGCATGAACTGGTTTGAACTGGTCTGGTTTATGTACATGTACGGTACATGTTCACCATGAATTCTGTCACCTTTCAAACACACATTCTCAAATGTACTCAAAGCTTTAGAAAAGGGAAAAACCATGTGAAAAGAAACACATGATTACACAGAGGAAATACATGAACTATACAGAGATTTGTAGAAGGAACCAGTTGGAACCAGCCAGAACCAGTTCAGACCAGTTTTAATTTTCATATTTCTGTGCATGTTTAACATTTCTTTTCCCTTTCTTGTACATCTACTTTCACCATTTCTTCTTTTCCAACTTTTATCCAAGGTAGTCTGAGGTCTTTTAAAATATTGTCGAATTGATATTTATCAAGGTAATCTTTAACGGTGATTCCCGTTTTTCCAAACAATGAATTTCCGGACGGCCAGCATACCATAAAAGTGAAAGACTGATTTTAACAAAGCATACATTTCATTGAAATTTCGTTAGTACAGGATTGAAAGTTCAATCAAGTTGCACACATTGTTTTATAATTTGATGAAAGGTTGGAGCAAAGTGACTTGCAGATACATGTACATGTAGAATTAGCACAATTGTGTTTACAATGTAGTACAATAGAAAAAAACTGAAAAAGGCCTGTGCATCATTTTAATAAAACAAAAATACCAATCCTGTATGTTTATTGCAACTACCTGTATGATTGGCTTTGTTCACTAAACATGGAACAAATAACAGTACTTACTGTATATAGTTTGCTGTGATCATGATGCCTAATGTGAAAGTAATAGACTTTATACTGACAGTATTGCATTTTGAGCTTAAACTGCAATGGTCATTGACACAAATTATCGAAATATCTTTTATATTCCTGCCAATTTTTAGTATTACTTGGAAAAAGGAGACCAATATCTGTTATTCTGATTGTGAGAAAGAAAAAACTTGATATCGTTTTGGTCGTTTCAATGCTATTCATGATTAATGCAGACTTTAGCATTCTTGATTGAATTATTTTCTTATCATCTTCACTTTTTTCCCCCATTTTTCCGTCCATATCCACAATGTCATATTGTTTCCTATCCTTCCTCCCCTCAAAAACCAACATGTCCCTCCAACCCATTCCCCACAAATTCCATTAATCCATGTATTCTTTAATTCCATCCATTCCCCAAACTTTTTCCTTTTCCTCTTAAAACTGACCACACAAAAAAAATTACTCCAACCGCATATGCCACCTTTCACATATGACCCCTGGTTGACCTTTCCCACAATGCAGCTGCAATGCTGTGGAAGCGCTATGAAGGTACTGGGATGGCATTTAATACCCATAATGCATCATTCATTGTTTTTTTTTCCTTTTTATTTTCTTGTCCGCTGTTGTGCTAGTTGTTTGTTTATAGTGTGGCATGCAAATTCAGTGAATAGTCGAACACATGTTTCTGAAGTTATTGTTTAGAAACAAGTTTTGTGGACATATACATGTACATTTGTAGATATCAAGGTGAAAAAAATGTGAATGTTGGATCCTAAAAGTAATGTTCAAAACAATTTATCCTTTACAATTTCCGTTGAAGTATCGTTGGTATATTAACCCTCCTATGCAAACATGCATTCTGTGCCAAGTTGTCCTTTCAGTCAAAATCAATCAAGTGACTGTTTTCAACAGTTAAGAATTCCCAGCTTACTTTAAAAGCAAGATCGACTGGCCGTGGCTGCTTATGCATAACTCAATCCAGCTTTGCTTTGGCTGTGGGTAATTGATAAGCCAGCTGTATCCACAGATTGCCCGCTTTGTACTTGCTGGTTATCCTCTTAAGAACTCCTCATGGAAGTCTGACGAAGAGGCAGGAATTTTGTCCTGATGGAAGAGAATTGTTTTCTGCTTGTCACAGAAATATTTCAATTTGATAGTGTAGTTTTCAGAAGTGATATTAGTTTAGATATTTATGTGAAGTAGAGTAGGGAAAAAAGTTTGGCATGTTGTGTGACTTACCATTTTGCACATTTTTTCAAATGGTTAAACGCATTTTCTTTAAATGAGTTTTGGATTGGGCAAAAGTTTTGAAGTCTGCTTTATAATTTTGGCTGCATCGCCCATGTTTAAATATTATTGTTTTTTTTTAGCTTACTACTACTGTTCTATTTGCAGTTCAGCATCATATGAGATTGTGTATTTTACAAAGCAGCTACTTTTGGTTTTCCTTCAAAATTAATCAAAAAATATCTTTACTTGTTCTTGTCAATGAATGGGAGGTTTCCAGTAACACCATGTGAATGATATCGCTTAGTGAGTTGTGTGGTTCTGAGAAGATTCAGTTGGTTTAACTCAACATTTTGAACAGAATGCTCTGCTTGTCAATGTGGAACTATTAACCATGAATAACAAACCTCAACACAAGGTAAAATGCTGTCACAGAATTACAAGTTCGCCGTAGCTTTCTTTAGGAACTTAATCAACTGTGGAATACATGCATCGTTCACTTGGATTTTGTATGTGTTTTGTGAATACAGCCCAGTACATGGACGACACAAGTTCGCAGGATTCCATGGGTTTGGGCTCAGGCGGGCAGCAGCGCGACTTTGACCGGAGAAAGAAAAAAAAGTGAGTGTTGACCCATGGCTAGTTTGAAGGCAAACTGCTGTTAACCATAGTTTGACTAACTTTGCTTGAACCCACGCTAGTCAGTTTGAGAGCAAACTGCTGGTTGCCATAGTTTGACTATCTTTGCTTGAACCCATGTTAGTCAGTTTGAGAGTTAACTGCTGTTAACCATAGTTTGACTAAATTTGCTTGAACCCATGCTACCGGTAGTCAGTTTGAGAGCAAACTGCTGTTAACCATAGTTTTGACTAACTTTGCTGAAAAAAAAAACATGCTAGTCAGTTTGAGAGTGAACTGCTGTTAACCATAGTTTTGACTAACTTTGCTGGAACCCATGCTAGTCAGTTTGAGAGTAAACTGCTGTTAACCATAGTTTTGACTAACTTTGCTGAAAAAAAAACATGCTAGTCAGTTTGAGAGTGAACTGCTGTTAACCATAGTTTTGACTAACTTTGCTGGAACCCATGCTAGTCAGTTTGAGAGTAAACTGCTGGTTACCATAGTTTGACTAAATTTGCTTGAATCCATGCTACCGGTAGTCAGTTTGAGAGCAAACTGCTGTTAACCATAGTTCTGACTAACTTTGCTGAAAAAAACATGCTAGTCAGTTTGTGAGCAAACTGCTGTTAACCATAGTTTGACTAACTTTGCTTGAACCCACGACAGTCAGTTTGTGAGCGAACTGCTGTTAACCATAGTTTGACTCACTTTGCTGGAACCCACACTAGTCAGTTTGAGAGTAAACTGCTGGTTACCATAGTTTGACTATTTGCTTGAACCCACATTGGGTTGTTTGAAAGCAAACTTCAGTTGACATTGTTTGACTAAATATGCTTGAACCCATGCTAGTCAGTTTGAGAGCAAACTGCTGTTAACCATACATTGTACATGTAGTTTGACTAACTTTGCTTGGACCCACGCTAGTCAACGATAGGTAGACTTGTCTAGGTCGGTTACTGTGCTGGTTAGTAGGAGATGCAAGGATCGTAATGCACAGCAAGATAAGCCAGGACCAAGAATTTCATGATGATATTTTGACTATTGTTGTGATGTTCACACATTGCTATTAGTGCATAAATACAAGCCTTAGTCACGTCACAAGTCAACCAGTACTCCTTGGTCAAACTTGCTCCTACTAGATTTGGTACATATGCATCCATTAAGCCCCTAACAAAAGTTTGACGTGCATGCAGTTACATATAACACACATGTCTGGAACATGAAGTCTGACACTGGAGAGGAGTGCACGTGTTGCAACATGCTCTGTGGACTGGGGCCAATTTCACGGCGCTGCTAAGCACAAAGGTTTGCTTAGCACAATAAAAGTCTGGCTTATAAAAGCAGGTTACCAGTCAAAACTCCATTTGAAGTATATTGCTCGTGATTAGTGTTCAGCTTTTGTTTGCTTAGCATGAAAATCACATGGATTTTTGGCTGGTAACCTGCTTTTATAAGCCAGACTTTTTTTGTGCTAAGCAAATTTTTGTGCTGAGCAGCGCCATGAAATTGGGCCCAGGTCTGTGGGGGTTAATACATCAGTCTATTGTGGGATAGGAGTAGGGTGTCTACATGTAAATGTGGTGTCAGTTGCCATTGTTCTGGTTAAGCACTGGTACACCTGCTGATATCTTTATGCGCATTCGCTGTGCGAAATATTTCTGTACTCTGTGCCAAATCCAACCATGGCTCCCGTGTTGTTTTATCACAGGCATGAGCTCCTTGCTGAAGCCATCAAGGCAGGTACCCCCTTCGCTCTGTGGAACGGCCCCACGGTGGTCGCCTGGCTGGAGCTCTGGGTAGGCATGCCGGCCTGGTACGTGGCCGCCTGCCGAGCCAACGTCAAGAGCGGCGCCATCATGTCGGCGCTGTCGGACACTGAGATCCAGAGGGAAATTGGGATCAGTAATCCACTACACCGCTTGAAACTGAGACTAGCCATACAGGAGATGGTCAGCCTGACCAGCCCCTCTGCTCCCCCGACCTCAAGAACAGTAAGCACCTGTCAAATGTCACTTAACCCCTTAGCACCTGCTTCCTCTTTTTTGTGACTGCCCAGTCACGTGTCTATAAACTTTCACAACTTCCATCCGTTTTGGCTTTGACTTCAGACTCTAGCCTTTGGCGAGATGAACCACGAGTGGATCGGCAACGAGTGGCTGCCTTGCATCGGTCTCCCCCAGTATCGCTCCACCTTCATGGAATGCCTGGTGGATGCAAGGATGCTGGACCACCTCAACAAGAAGGACATGAGGGGACAACTCAAGATGGTGGACAACTTCCACAGGTATTGCAGAAGGGCAATTCCACGGTTACTCACGTTACATTTTCGTAACGTGAGTAACTGATTTTGTGCGTCTTGTTTATCATACATAACACATTTTGCTGGATTTCATCTTTGGTGCTTAGGTAGGTCTAGGTCTACTCTATCTACCATGGGGATAACAGTTATTAAACCTTTTCAGTAAGGTAATTACAGCCCAAGGAAACTCAAAAGTACATCAAAAATGTAACGTGAGTAACCGTGGAATTGCCCAGCAGGACAAAAAAGAATCTTGGAAGCAGGGGTTTAGACACGATGATTTCAAATTGAATTTAGTGAAAGCTACAGTGAATTCCAAGGTCCATCACAAGTCGGTTACAAGCAAAATCACAAGTCAGTCATAAGTCACTGTCAAGTCAAATCACAAGTCATCACAAGGCAATCATAAGTAGTCACATGCCAATTGCAAGTCATTCACAAGGCAATCACATGTCAGTCACGAGTCAAATCAAAAGCCCATTGCAAGAAAATCACAAGTTAGTCACAAGTCAATTGCAAGTCAATCGCAAGTCAATTACAAGTCAACCACAAGTCCATCGCCAGTCAGTCGCTAGTAGTCACAAATTAAGTCTTAAGTTTATCACTAGTCAAATCATAAGTTATTCACGAGGCAGTTTCAAGTCAGTCACAAACCAAATCACAAGCCCATCATAAGTTAATCACAAGTCAATTGCAAGTCAATCACGAGTAAGTCACAAGGCAGTTTCAAGTCAATCGCGAGTCAGATCACAAGCCCATCATAAGGCAATCACAAGTTAATCACAATACAATCACAAGTCAATCACAAGTCAAATCACCATTCACAAGGCAGTGCCAATTCAATCACGAGTCACTTCACAAGTCCATCACAGGTCAAATCGCATGTCATAAACACAAGTAAGGTTTACGTAACTTTACAATAATGAAGAAATGCTTATCGCAGATAAAGTGAGCAGCTTCTTTCAGGACTTCCCACCAAATGACTTACGATTGACTTGTAAGAGCTTGCCAAAAATTCCCGTTGATTTACATCCCAAAATTGTTTGAATTGGTTTCACATTCATTTCACATTTAAGCCATCTATCGGTGGGAAAAATCCCTCAGTTCCTTAGTTGTATTGTTGGGAACAGTTGATCAAATTTTTATGGACCAACTTTCTTGTTGTTTACAGAACGAGCCTCCAGTACGGCATCATGTGCCTCAAGAAAGTCAACTACGACCGGAATGAGCTGAAACGGCGGAGGGATCAAAGCGCAAATGAAATCAAAGGTGAAGTTTATAACACCATCGGTGAAGGGCAAAACCAAATTTGATTTACATCACCCCGACGCAAAAATTCCATCTTATGAATAGTTAATGCAGTACCCGCTGCTATGTACATCAGATTCGAACCAGCCAACCGATCCCATTAGCTCGGTGGTCGAGTGGTAAGACATCTGCACCAGAAAGCAGGAGGTCGTGGGTTCGAGTCCCACCCGAGTGATATTTTTCCAACTTTCACTCGGGAGGTAACGCACTGAGTATACAGTGTTTGTACGTCGGTGAAGGACAAAACCTAATTTGATTTACATCACCCCGACGCAAAAATTCCATCTTATGAACAGAATAACAGGATGAAAAATGTCAGTGGAATGGCATATTCAACAAACAAACAAAATAAGCTGTCTCCAGGGTGCAAAGAAGATTATTAGTGACAATTGTCCTGCCAATGGACATACATCCGTCAGTCTCGTAAGCTACATTGTAGACCCCAAGTAGTCGGAGGGCAGACTAAATATCTGTCACTTCATTATACATTTATAGTCTGAGAACGGCAAGTATGACCTCTGACCCAAGGTCAGCTCATTTACATATCCACATGTGCACACATACTCGCAAACTAGACCAATCCAGTTTTTGAAATTGTCTGGGTATTGCCTGCCTTTATATGAATGTGTGACATGACGTCAGGTCGCCAGTCTAGACCTGAACTAACACTGTACAGAATGTACCCTCAAGACCTTGCATTCCAGGTACAAGACCATAAAGCAGAGTTGTATTTTAGTAGGTCACAAGTCAAACACAAGGCATCGACAAGTCATTCAGTCTCAAGTCAGGTCACAAGATATTCAGATGAGCTGCAACATTATCGACGTTCATCCGCTGTTATCTGTGATTTGACTGTGACTGACAAGTGATTTGATTGCATCTCTTCCATCTGTGATTTGACTTGTGACTGACATGTGATTGATTGCATCTCTGCCATGAGGCCATAATACTGAATAAATCTTACGTCTTCCATCCCCCATTGACAGACGTACTAGTGTGGAGCAACGACCGCGTCATCAAGTGGATAGTCTCCATCGGTCTCAGGGAGTTTGCCAATAACTTGATAGAGAGCGGTGTGCATGGCGCCCTCGTGGCGCTAGACGAGGCCTTCGATCATCAAGCCCTGGCCCTGGCCTTACAGATCCCGACTCAGAACACGCAGGGACGGCAGCTATTAGAGAGGGAGTATAATAACCTGCTGGCACTGGGCACCGAGAGAAGAATGGAAGAGGTGTGTTTGTGTTTGTTGGACCCTAGAGCCTTCTGTCCTCTTACTGACAAGTCCAAATAATGGGTGCGTTCGTTTAGCTCACCTGGGTTGACACGGGTAAGCTCCATGCCGTTCGATTAGCTCTGACGTCATTCTCGGGGCTCACCTGGGTCAGCCACCACAGACCCTGCTCGTGGAGCAGAGTCACTGGTGGAGGCACGTCATGCATGCGTTGTTCATTCCCTAGAAACGGACAAATATGGCGGCCGGACAGCGAAAATCTCAAGTGGACTTAACAGTTCACTTTATTTGAAGTCTAAAGGTAATCATTAAGTTTTGAGTTCATTGCGACTTTTGAGGCTATACTTTCAGCCCAACTTTTTTTGAGTTTTGCAATTGACTAAAAAGCAGTAAATCTCAAACTAAGACCCAATCCGAAACGGGCGTTTTGTCAGTGGCTACGGCCACGGCTATGGACGTCACGTGAGGATAGTGATGTCCCGCGGTTGAGCGTTCGATTAGCCCGGCTGTCGTGGCTGACCCGTCTGCCTTTACCCGTGTCGACCTGGGTGAGCTAAACGAACACACCCAATAAGGGCTGTTCATTTTCAAAAAAATTAGTATTCCATTAATGGATACTGCGTTTGACTGAAGATTTGGATGTTTGAAATTGCCAGCTGCAACTGCATGCTGCGCTGGGAAAAACTTGCACAAAGAGTGCCAGTTAAAATTGGCCTGCGGCAATCGATATGGGCGGCTGGAGTGATTTGCAGTAAGTACTCTATAACTGTACAGGGATATTAACCTGCTAAAAGAATGTGAACAATGGTCCGCTGTTGACAAAAAGTTACAGTCGACAAAAAAGTGCCCCCTTGACGATGAAGCGCCATAACTTTACGATAAAATAACATCACAGTCATGTGTATCTTGGTATTTTGGCAAAAAGCTTTTCAAATATTCGGTTGATGATCGAATATTGGAGTATTCGATGCATTTGGGACAGCCCTACAAATAATATCCTCAAGTGTCAAGCTGAATGTGTCCAACCAGGACTGACCAAGCCAAGCTGTCAAGTTAAGACTGACCAGCTATCTTGTCTTGGCAAGCCAAGTCTTGTTTTCCTATTTGTGATTCCTGTGATCATACAGCAAGTAATTCAGATGCATCTTTTGGGGTTTTTTTTGCTAAAAAGGATGCAGGAAGCAAGTTCAAACGTGGCCCTTCCTGGCGAAGGATGCTGAAACTCAAAGACGGGGCGTCGCCCAAGGGCAAGGAGGGGGCGGCAACTACGGCCGCCGGGGCTCAGGACCCCTCGGCGCCTGGGTCACCCAGTCAAAGGTCAAATACAGCTCAGAAGCCTCAGGGGTCATCGTCATCGGCAACGGCGGCGGCAACGGGGGAGGGGGACCGGCCTGCTGTGCAGACATACTCCTGCTGACAGGAGTAGAGAAATCACAACTCACAAACCAACCTCAGGTGCGTAGTTAATAAGAAACCGAGGTTTTGTTTTTTTAAGAAACCTTTGTCTCATATGCGACATTGTCTCCATACTTGGCGTTAGAACCGCTTAGAAGCTTTAACATCCAAGCTAAATAGGAGCACTGCACTCTTTGACCTCATTATAAGATTTGATGTTTTTGAAGCAGAACGTAGACCCTTATTGAATATGAATCCCCTTGAAACATGGAGTGCCATTTGGCCTTGTGGTGAAATGGCTTGTAGTTTGATAACTGCGACCAGATCAACAAACAGGCATAACTGTCGCATTGTTTGAACATACTGGCCTTGATTTTTACATCACGTAAAAGAGTAATGTTCAAGGACTAATCTTTACACACAGCACTTTTGGTTTTAATCACTCCTTGGCAGTGAAAATCTGGGTTGAAACAAGTGAGTTTTCAACTTGTGGTCCATTTTTCACGCTCTAGTGATTTCCACACGACTTAAAGTCGCAAACAATTTGGTTCTGGGGAGAGCCAAGTCAATGAACGATGTGGTAAGGAAAGAGTCCAACCAAAGCCAGAGACCAAGCGAAGTTTTCAAAGAGCCTCTAGACTTGAAATAAGGACTGGATATTTGCGAATCTTGTCTGATGTTTTCAAGAGACCATCCAGTTGTCATTTGATCACAGTGTGTCTTTACTCTACCTGTTTCTTTAGCGTAACCCCTTTCCACCCCACCCCCTCCCACCCCCTGAAAAAAAAATGTTTGAAGGATTTGTTGAAAGATTTGCAGGATTGATGAAGACAGATCAACGTTTATGCCCATTGGCTGTTCTTACAGGAGAGGTTTTATTCTTTGAGTCTGCAGATTCTAACATCTTCCTTGAACTAATTTCCTCTGTAACGTTACAATTTCAGGTGGCAGTTAGCATACGTAAGAACTATTTGGGACCAACAGGGTGGTGTATGCGCCACTGACAGACCAACCCTTCCCACATTCCAGTGTGAAAACTAAAATCCTCACTGCCAGGAGAAACCCGTCTGAAGCAGTATGAACCGGCCTGAACCGGTCACGGGCAGCCTGGGCTAGCTGTAGCTGACCAGTGCTGGCCAAGGTGTGCCAGAGAAAATGGATGTCTGGAAGCTAACAGTGACAAAACCGGTACAGACTGGTTGCAGCCAGCTAGAACCTGCAGTCAAAGCAATGGAGGTCAAGAAGGATTCGGATACCAAACCGGTATGGACTGGTTCCAGCCAGCTAGAACCTGCGGTCAAAGCAAAGGAGGTCCAGAAGGAGTTGGATACCAAACTGGTATGGACTGGTTCCAACCAGCTACATGTAGCAACTGGAACCAGGCTGATGATGTGCAGAATTGCCGACAGAAAAGTGCTGATGATAAAGTGTTGAAGATTGAAGGCTCGTGACAATCTGTGGATGCTTGATGGAAGTTAATGTCCCTTCTTCAAGCCAAAACAAAGCTATCCAGTTTAGACTGGTTTTGACCGGTTGAAGAGGACTGTTGCTAGCTGATAATTTCTAGATCAGAAGGAAAAAAAAAAAAATTTAAAAGGCTGATAAAACACCAAAAATGGCTCAGTCGCCTGGCAGCAAATGGTCCCATCTGTAAACTGTGCATCTACCACGACCAGCCAAGACCCTATTGGACCGGTTAGAGAACATCCCATCTTTGCACCATTATTCAACCTTTGATACTCTGCTAACCAGTTGAGACCAGATCCAGCTACCGTAACCTGCTGCAGTCTTGAACTGGTTCCAACCTGTTCTGGCCAGTTTTATCTAGCTACAACACTCATTGGAATGTTCTTTTCATTTTGTTTTCATCAGACAGCACCAGTTTTACTTACCTTTATATTCGCCAGACCAAATTTATGAGTTCGTGAGACCAGTTCAAACGGGTCTAATCCAGATCTAACTGCCTGGAACCGCTCGTAACCGACTATTGTAATGAAATTTGTGGAGAGAGTGGTTGTTTGTTAAACCTGTCATTACTGCAGGGAGTATCACAGCTTTTCTCCAGGAAAAATCTGGGTCCATAGTGAACTTGCCCATTAACCAGTTCAAACCAGATCAAACCAGTTCGAACCAGCTGAAACCAGGCCACGACTCTGGTTTAGGATCAGGCTACTGGAGGGCATTATTCTGAAACTCGCCATTGTCTCTCATTCCAGCAGGTCATATATTTAATAATAAGATATAACCAGAACTGACTGGTCCAGTCTAGGTGTGACTGGTTTTAACCAGTTCAGACTGGGCTGTATGCCTGATCAGGCTGGATTTGTAAGTGATAGATACCAACTAGATTTCTATTATTTATTGCAATTATCGTTTCTTAAAGATATCAACATTTACTTGGACATTGATCCCACCAGGAGATTTCTTACGCTCATGGCTATTTATTTATTTTTAGAAATATGTTGAGAGAAAGTAGAAAATAGCCTAGTTTTTCTCCTTAATTCAAATGCCTGGTGATATTTTTGAAAGATAGTTTCGTGGAACCATGTCAGTTTTTCTTTTGGCAGAGATTTTTTACTCAAATCCGCTCATTTGGATGAAGGGGTTACCATTTTCATCACAGTGAAGTTCATTCACTTTGAAATCAGGGAAACTGTGGAGGAGCGTCTTAAAACTTGTTACTCTTCAAAAGTTCCAGTGGAAATAGAACTTATTATGATGGGAATAAAACCTGTTTAAGTCAAACAGGCTGTTAACCAGTTAGAACAGACGGGGAAAAAATTGGTTTTCAAAAATGAAAATCTTTGCCTGTGCCTACTCATACTTCATGTACCTCGGGGAAGCCTCATTCCAGCTAGGACCATTCTAGGAAACAGCTTTTTCTGGATAGTGTGGATATGTGTCTCGCTTGATCCAAAAGAAGCATTTCGAAGGGAACATTGATGTTCCTGTTGAATGTTCCCTGTTTTGTGACTCTGTTCGGAGGAATCTGTGGGGCTGTAATGTTGAAGCAGTGCTTTCTAATAAACTGGCGGAGTCGATTGCTAAATACCTGAGGATTTTTTATGGCATTGAAAAAAAAAAGTTCTAAATGTTATGCAAATTTGGGGGAAAAAAGTATTACAAAATGATACAAAAATATAGTAATCTACTTAAAAAGACATCTTTACCAATTTTGAAAATAGTTTCCTCTATTTCTTTTATTTATTCAGCTAAATGGAAGAGTACATTTTTGGAAGTAGGGTACGGACTGTACAGTTTGCTTTTTTTTGTAAAATATAAAACTATTTCCAAGTCTGACATAGTAAAAGAAAAGACAGGAAAAAAACACTTCCTTTTTTATATTAAAAATTACGTACAAAATTTCTTCCTTTCCTGTAAAAATGTATAAAAAAAAAATTAAAAATCACTGATCTTAGCTGTTCTTTTGTGAAGTGGTTCTTGGAATCTGAAGGAAAAAAACCGGTCGGTTATTTCCGGATCTACTAAGGCATTCCGAATGCATATGCTCTTGTTTTCAAAATTGCTTTAGATGGACAAATACCATGGAAAACAAAAATGTGGTTCGCAGTTTGATTGATTCTCTTATACCGCAACTTTGGTCAACTCAGACAGTGTCTGGATTGGCATGGTTCTGGTTTTTTCCTCCTATTGGAAAGATACATGTGGGTACACACAGTCGTACTTTACCATTACGTCTGAAGACGAGGCATTGTGTTTCCAATTTTTCTTATAATATACACTCTCTCATAGACTATTGCACACAGACTTACATTCGAGGACTGTTTTCAACAAAGAATCTGTTCTTTGTCTTTGCTGTCCTCCGGATGTAATTAATACACTTACATGACCTGTATACATCACATTTCAGGCAAAATTGTCCGAGTCCACTTAAATCCCTGAAAACTTAACAACTACACTTGTTAGCAGGTGCGGATCCGAAGGGGGTGGGGTCAAAACAAAACACCTCCTCCCCTGCTCGGACATCCCCCGAACCCCCCATAAAATAATAATAATTACCTATATGTCCGCCTGTCCGCAACAAACGGACATAAAAACAAATCTGACAGGCTTGAACCCCCCCTGTAAAAATCCTGGATCTGCCCCTGGTTAGCATGACCTTTCATGTCCATCACAAGAAAGAGGAGTGTTTACTGATTTGAGTATTAAAAGGACGCGAGTTATTATTGAAATCCGTTTTGGTTGGAACTTAACAGCCTTCAGTTCTGTTTCTCTTCAGTTCCCCAGACTTTCAGGAACCATTTCACATGGCCATTTTGTTACAACTGATAATATAACAACAAACAGATAACGTATCGCCAACCGATAATGTAACAACAATTGACCGAATACTGTATCACTAACCGAAAATGTAAAAAAAAATTGACCGACAGTGTAGTAGAATGTACTACACTATCAGTTCATTGTTGTTACATTATCAGTCCTAAACAATAATGTGACAAGAATTTACTGATAGTGTAGTAACATTTACTACACTATCAGTCAATTGTTGTTACATTATCAGTTGGGTTGGTGATAGTTATTCGTTGGTTATTACATTATCAGTTGTAACACCATTCTATTCTAGGTGCCGCTGTGCACAGTACTTTATACTTCTCTTCTTCCCAGACAGTTTGGACATTTTTGTTTCCTCTTTGAAATGTATAATCGGAGGAAAACAACGAGGGAGGAAAAGTTGACGACTTTTATCGTTTCCATTTCGGACCACATCTGTTGCTATGGAAACAAGACAGCACAAACTAATGTCGGCTATGCAGCAATAATACACTGTACAGATAAAAAAAAAGAAACAAAAATCTCTTATGTAAATCACTGTTTAACTTAAGTTATGTATGCACTGTACATAGGAATACATGTTCGTATATATGTAGTCCGGGTCTTTTTTTTCCCTTTTTTTTTTCAAAGATATGTATGTATAGATACCATAAACTTCTTGGTATCTGAAATGAGAGGGAAAGAATGTTTGTTTATGGGATAAACTGTGGATGGTAATTTCCACCACAACGTTTGTTTCTGTTAGTGACGAAATGACCGAAGGTAGAACTAGTACTAACAACTTTAAAGATTAATGAATAATTCATGACCATGGCTTTACAGTTCGAAAGAAATTTGATTCTTTTGATGTCCATGCAGACAGAACAATGAAACAACAAGAAGTGTTTTCGGTTCTTACCCTCTGTTATTGTTTGTGTCTTCTTTTTTTTCCAAATGAGATTTTGTTTTCAACTTTTTGTCCCATCTCATTTCAACTGGTTACATTGCATTAGTGTGCTTAGTTAAGCTGAGTGCAAGGGCGGATCCCAATCACATTTTTGTTTGGGGGGGGGGGGCAAAAAAGTGGGTCCAAAAATTATGAGGGGTTCGGGGCCCACTTTAGGGCCCCGAAACATTTTTGGACTCTAGATGCTCTGTGGTGTGATCTGAGGCAGTTTCTGAGCACTTTAATCAATTTTGTTTTTTAAGGAAAAGATGGTGGTGTACGCAGTGCCGGCCTTTATTGCAACATCACTAAAAAAAAATTAAAAATGGGTTCTTTGGGGGGGGGGGGCAATGGCCCCCCATTGCCCCCCCCCCCCCCCCCCGCCCCCTCTGGATCCGCCCTTGGCTTTCCATGAAAAAAATCTCTCACAAAGTGCAACATTTTCCCGGAAACCTTTAACTCCAACCGTAAAATATATTAGAATGATTAGCGGATATTTTAGCCCAACTTGTATTATGGGTTATTTCGGTCAAAATCAAAAAAAAATGTTCACGGAATATATTTTTTTCCGGGTTTATCTTTGTAAAAGCTGAGCTTATTTTACAGCTCAACTTTTCCTGGTTATAAATTTCAATTTTGAAATAATACTATACTGGTCTAAGCTTAAAACAACATGTATAAAACAAAATTATCAGTATTGTAAGACCCAGGATGTAAATTAAATTGCTTTCCATTTGTCAGTTCATTTTTGTTTTCTGTATCATTATAAAAGGAAATACTAAGAAGTACTTTGTAGAGTGATATTTTTGTTTTCTTTTTGTCGATTTTTATAGTACTGAACTCAGTTAATGAATTTTGTACCGTCCTGCAAAATTAATTTTTTGTTTTAACTGATGGTTTTGTTATGTTTTACAGCTGGCTGATTGTAGAATGATTGTTTACTTTGTCAAAAAAAAGCTCAAAATATTGTTTAATTTAATTTTCTCCCCTTATTAATCCAGATGAAGGGGTGGGGTTGGTTTATGTAACACTCCACTGTAAAACTCCGGTGTTAAACTAACACCATGTGATATCTCAATTGAAATACTTATTCAATATAGAAACTGCATAGTGTTGATTTTACACTGTTGTTTTTACAGTGGTGCTACAACGTGTTTGTTTTGGAAGGGCATTTTTCAAATTACATTGTTTATCATACTGGTAGAAAATTAAGTTCTAATAGAAGTTCTAGAACTTATTTTTTTCACAAAGTACATGCAGGTTACCACAAGGAATTATTCACTTGTTCAAACCATTTCCGTTATTTGTCCCAATGCGGGTGTAATAAAAAGAATTGGGAAAATGGATAAAATAAAATGGTAGGTGTCACAGAAAGTTTATAGGAAAAGATTATAGATCCAATTGAATAATAAAAGAAAAACTAAAATTCCCCTGATATTTCAACTCGCAACATGTTAGCCAATAACTGTGCTCTATAATGGACCGATCCAGTAAGCACCGCCCCATGGTATTCTGACCAATCACAGCCGTGATTTATGTCCGACATGCGTGCACAAAAGTCCGACATGCGTGCACGCGCGTATGATGCGCGCGGCAGGAAAATGCAGTGTGGCATTGGAGAGGAGCGCGTGTTAATTGGTCCACGTGCGCAGTGGGAGGGGCTTACTGGATCGGTCCATTATGACTTCTGTCTTGGTCCAGATGTTTTTTTTTTTTTGATGACTTTTTTTTGAAATTGTGTAATCTTGTTTGTGTGTGAATAATTTTGGGGTTTGCTCTGTTTTGTGTGTACCATGCCTGTCAGCAATTGTGCGTTACTTATTTAATTTGTGGCTAAGGGGAAACCCATGAGTGTGTTTCTGTTAGGCCCCGCCCACTTCGCACGTGAACAACAACACGTGCCCCTCGCCGATGCCATACTGCATGTTCCAGACGCGTGCGTATATGCAAATGCACGCATGTCAGACATTTTTTTGCACGTGACATCGGACATTAATCACGGTTGTGATTGGTTAAAACGTAGGGCGGAGCTTAGTGGAATAACAAGTTCAGGCTGGGCAAAATGTGTGCAGAGTGATTGATACATTTTGGATAAGAGACCCTTGCATGGTGCGCTCACGCGGAGGACTGCTTTTTTAATTAAAATTCAGTGACTTATACACATTGTCTACACATGCGTATCACTGAGGAGCAAAATCCTGCCCTCAGATGTGACGTAAAATGCAAGGGGTCTGTAGGAACAATGAAAGTTGATCAAGTGGTACTGTTTGCACTGGTACAAGCAATTCCCAAATACAAATTCCATTTTATCAGACCATCACCAAAAGAGTAAATCGTTGTGAGAAATTAAACTCCATAAAAATCCCAAGTTGTATCCTCAAAATATTTGAAACAGCATACGCAGTAAGTTGTTGGATTTTTGATATTTTTTTTTCAGGTTGCAAATTGAGTTTCTTGTTAATATTGTAATTTTTTGTTATGTTTTATATTGTTATGGGATATGTTTTGGGGAGTTTCATGCAAGTTTTGATCTAATGAAAGGCCCAACAAAATCAACTGGACCTTTCAATTTCTTCGTAAAAATGAACCTTATAATTTTTATATTTGGATTATTTGATGGCAAATAGAACAACACAGAACAAGCGCTGTATCAGTTGCAATGCGGCCAGTGGTATTTCGAAGCATTTTCAATAGTTTGTTTCGTTTTGTTTTAAATAATACTGGACACAAGGCTCGTACTGTACACAAATCAGTGTGCAGTGTGCATTATAATCTAGCACACCTTCATGATGTTTGTGTTAGTTGCTGGAAGAGTTACTCGGGGGGAAAAAGGCAGACAAAAGTAAGGGGGATTCTGTCTTTTTTATTTAAAATGCCGGCTTGCTGAGAAGCAGGTCTTTACATGAAAGAGGAGAGAAAAAAGGTAAACAATGGTTATCAAGATATGTGTAAAGTAACTTTACCCCCTCTTCTGTGATGTAAACCAAATAAACGATGTAAGTTATTCTTTACTATGAACAAGATGTGTTCGTGTTGTCTGTTAGCTTTTTAATTTCGCAGTGGCTATTGCCACGGTCGACCGTCTGGTTCCCCGACCTAATAGTCTTCAAAGGTAGGATCTTTGGCTCTTGCAACCAACCAGACTATCAACCGAACGGTTCCTGGAGTTTATTTCCCTTAAAAAAAAATCATCCAAAGCCACTGATTATAAAGAAGAAAATTGAATCTATACCTCAATAGAAAAAGGATTGGATTGAACGCATAAAAATATGTGAAAAAAAAAAAGTTTGGCATAGCACGGATTTGATCTGGGACCTTCCGGTAAGGCAACAATTTTAACCAATCCAGCTACCAAAGCGCTGTGGTTGGTAAGGCATTTTTTTTTATATATATAGGCCTGGATTCGCAATGGTGTGTTTGCAACATGTTGCTAGGATAGCAGATGAAAATCGCGTTTCTGCTTCTGTTACGATAGCCACTACGTTTAATTTTTGAATCTGGAGTTTTGCTTTGCAAGTCTTCCTAGTTGGAATGAGGTCGATCATTGATATTTGCTGATATGATTACCATAATAAGCCAAGCAAGAAAGACAGATATAGGCCTACACGTATACTCGGTTTAATTTCATTCCATGACCTAAAGGAATAGGCCTATTGTAGCCAATTAGTTTATCACAAGCATTGGAAACACTTTTACGAAAGACCATCAATGATAATGTTCGAACAATGCAATTTCTTGAAACTTGCCTCACGATAAGACATACATGTGTGTGCGTGACGTGAAAACTATCGCCCTTCTGTGCTGCATGTACGACCTCTGCTATGATGTGCGCGAACGTCAGGCGCAGTATCGTACAATTTCCATTGCTTCTTGTGGGTATAGCACGTGGCAAGTTGTTAAACAGCAGAGTTTAATGGCGACTTAAACCACGCCTAAATGCTACAAAAGCGAATACAAATGTTCACTTACCCAGAGTTGACTCCTATTCCTCCGTCAGGAAACAACGGAATGTAACATCTCATGATCATGTTGATCAACAACTCGTCCAGTGTGAGGTCTTTCTCCTTGAATTTCACCGTGTTTATTCAGCGCTTTAGTTTGTGTTTCCAAAACACGTGTTGTTGTGTGGAATTGAGTTGCGCGGTGTAGGTCACGTGTAAAAGAAGGATTGTGACTGTGCGCGCCATTTTCGTTGCTTAGTGAGTAGATGCGCTTTTTACAGGCGGCTGCGTGTCGAACATTTTTAACAGCGCGCGCGAAGTTCTGTTTCTTTAGGGCGCTTTGATAAACGCGGACAATAAAATGGCAGCAATGCACATTTTGTGTAAAATTCCAAAATCGGTCGTACAGTTTGTCTTTATTCCATATTTAGGTGCTTTTGCTCACGTAAAATAATTATGTGGTCGGCTGTTCCATTACATTTATGATCATCTGTGGGTCGATATTCACGAGTTTATTGTTACGAAATGTGGCGTACAAAAGAGCGTTAAGTTTTCATAAGGTAAGTTCATTCCTTGCAGCGTCTTTTCATTGATTGATATACTGAGTGATAGGCATATCATCAAATTCAAAAACACTTTTCATTAGCCTACATTTTCTTAAGTTCAATTGCTTCACGATAACTCTATTATATCTGAGTGAATTTACCCCTTACTTCTACTTCGATAGAAACCTACATTGATACTTGACGTGCGCCCGATTGGATATCACGTCAATTTAAACGGTTGGCGCAATGTGATTTAATCTAACGTTAATTGTTTTAAAATAAGAAAGGTTATAGGCCTAGGTTGAGAGCGGTCCTGCTAGTTCTGTAGACACACAATAATTGTCTTGCTTCCATGATGTAGCATTGGTAGGCCGTGTCTGGTTCCTCTTCCCCATCAAAATGCTCATCCATTATTTATCCATACAGGTTTCAAATTATTTGCCCACTTACTTACGTACAATTGAATGCTATCACTTTCAATTTGTTTCCTTCATTTTTTTTCACGTAGACAAAGTTTGACCTGCAGGATTGGATTGGTACCCTATTCATAACCCATCAGGGTTACCATAAAGGTTGGGGTTAACAAAAGTCGAAAAGGTCTAGTTCTGTAAATCCCAGAATTAACCGGTCAAGGTCTCAAGGAGCGAGATGTCTGCATCCGAAACCACCGAACGAAAGGGCAAATTCTTCAAGGCCATCGTCACCACACCCCCTGACCTCAGTAAGCCCAAGAACAAAGCCACGGCGCGGCCCTCGGCCTTGCCCACCCTTCAACCCAGGAAATACCGCCCCGTAGACCGAGCACCGGGTACATCAGCCAAGACAGCCCCGGGACCCACGGGGGAAGCAACGGCGTCCGTCCCCGGCGGTGACGCCAATGAAACTCCGAATATCATTGGGAGGTTGGAGGAGGCCACGTCTGGTGTCAAATGTGAAGAGACAGGAAGATGCGGGGATGACGTCAGGAATCTGACCAAGCTCCTGTTCAACAGGTATAACCAGTTTTGTAGTCGAGGTACTTGTTTGATCACAAGTCATCATACGTCCATCACAAAGAAAAAGTGTCAATCAAAGTTATCCACATGATTCACTCCCAAGTCAGTTTACAAGCTTTTCAAATAAGTTATGAAGTATCCTCACCGGCATTCCTTTAGTATTTATCATCTTCTGTGACTGGAATTGTCAATTGAAGTATTACTTGTGAACAGACTTGTGATGTACTTGTGATCCATCAAGTACCTCGATTTCAATAATGCGGTAAACTAAACCAAGCGTAACGAGGCCACTGCTGCTTAAAGCGGTTGATGGGTTTCACAATCTAAAAACCCTATGAAATTTAGGTTGTAACTTGCTTTTCATTTGGTCGGCAATGTAATGTGATCGGCAACTCCCTGTGAGAGATGTAATCAAAATCTGTTACAACCAAGTCAATCAAGTCAATACAAGTCATACCAATTTGGTCTAATAAGGCTCTGTTTCCTCCTTACGTCAGAGAATTGAGTGCTCCTACCTAATTTCTTCCTGCAGAAATGTTTCAGGGTTCTTGAATGAAAGCAACAAGCTTGAAGATATTGCCATCATCCAGACAATATTCAATGCCAACCACGTGCCTCAGACAGATGCAATAGACACCAGAAGCCATGTCTCCTCTCATCAACAAAAGATGGCTTCAAAGACAGAAGTGGATCTTCCCTGTCCATCGACCCAGCCTGGGTTACGCTCAACCGTCCAATCAGAACCTAACCAGCTCAACCAGGGTACAAATATAGGGACAAGTCGGACCTACAGACCCCTCTTGGTACGAGGAAAGCAGGGTGGTGTCCTGAGACTGGCAACATCGGACGCCAAAGACGAACCACCACCACCACCATCAGACGGAAATAATCAACCGAAACAAACGGACAAGAGATTCGTTGGGAAACAAAGAACGGTTGGCGCGTACCCGATGAGATTACCGAAGCTCTCGGTTCAGCAAAGAGAACTTGGGAATAAAAGCTGTTCCGGGAAGGAGACTGGAAATCAAGATTCCGACAAGGTGTGCTGCGGGACAACCAATATAAAACGGTCCAGAGGCAGACAACAGATGTCCAAGTCAACAGGTTCGACGGAAGCAGGTGATAATATCTCACCTAAGTGAAACCCGCAGTGTTAGATGTTACAGGCCTTGTAACAAGACTACAATTACCTAGTCGAGCCGAACCCGAAAGTCTTATTATACTCACTTTATTCCTCTATGATCAGTCAGTTCTTAAGTCAGAGGACAATTGGCTGAACTTCTGGTCCAGAGAAAATTAAATTACGGCACCCAAAATCACATTCTGCGCTCAGAATTGCAGTAAGAATCAAGCTGTCAAAATTCCAATTTACAACTTCTGTGCGTTAGTGGTGACAAGGCCCTACCTCGTAACTTTTAGGGTTATTATAATCAACGTCACTCATGACTTATAGACAGATTAATTGCAGGAGGATTACTTTGTATAACAATTCTCTGCGACAGGCAATGTCTGATTTTTCTGTCTCACTAGCATCTCATCTCCCCACAGGCACATCTATCTTCTACCCCAGTTCAAGCAACGTGACCATCATCCGCCGTCGAGGGCGTCACGCCAAGCCCCGTGCCGGCTCTCCTATGCCCTCCCCGCGGAAGCCCCTCCCGCCCATCCGGAGGCGGCACCACTCGGACATCTGCACCGTGTGCCCCGAGGTCCACGACTGGAAGGGTTTGGCGAGGAACCCACGATGGTACCCTTCGGCCAAGAGCGGTAGCGAGAGAGGTACAACGTGCTCGTGCGAGAAAGGTTCAACAGACGCACCGAGCACTGAGTGTGATCAGGATTGTCGCGCAGACACTGCTTCTGAGGAAAGGGTTGAGGCTGGGGAAGGACAGACTTTAAAGAGGGAGGACGAGGAGGAATCTACTGATGAACAAATGAAAGATGCACAAGAAAGTAACTGGTTTCCAGAGAAGAGCATCGCAGTACCAAACAGTGAAGACTCAGATAATGATGAAGAAAGCAAGACAACATGTGGTATGGTAATTTTTATGTAGGTTTTTACTGGTTACCTGAAGGTTGTCCGTGGGTTGTTGGACAGTATAGGCCTTTATATTAAGATACCCACCAATCATGCAAAACCGCTTGCAATTTCCGAAACGATCTAAATAAGTTTACAACTTGTGTCCTAAAACTCATGTCCTAAAACCCGGCATTTTTATCCTTTAAAAATGCACCCGAGTATTATGCACTAATTGTTTTAATACCCCATCTATCGAGTTCTCCTTCTAGTTCGATCCCTTAAAATAACAATTTAGATTCAGGGGGATAAACAAACCGTACAGGACAGCAATTAGTTCGTCCTGATAAAATATTTTCCCCCCTTCTGTATATAGATAAGACTTGCAACGTTGAGATGAGCAAAGGCAGTGATGACATCCTACATGCTCACTGTCAGTGGCTGACGTCTGGAAATTCGTCGCTCAGTGGTGGACACAAACACATTTTACTCGTAGATGGTGATGGGTACAATCTCCCAGAAAGGCTGCGGATGGACGGCTTGGATTTTGAATGCGACAACACAACGGAAATCGCCTTTGAGGACGATAGCGCTCTACTACAAGCCGTCCTCCTACGCAACCATGCTCTGAATTACGGTGTGGTTTCCGAGTCAGGTGACCCAAACCCACCTACAGAGGTGAAAGGTCAAGCTGGTGAGATGGCTGAAAACGGGAATCAGCCTGTCGGTACAAGGAAATACAAGCGTTTCGACGACCGCAGTGGGAGGCTGACTTATCCCACACGTCTCGTTCAAGGAAGCTGTGAAGCTGTTGGAAGACTTTGTAGGTTAAGTAATCAAGTGGATAGACAGGGGTCACAGATGTCCATAATTCCTAGGGCAGAGGTCATTATGACGTCAAGGGGTCAACGGAAGGTCGTCAACAGCAGCCTGGTGGCCGTCGGTAGAGGACAGAGCGCAAGCAACGTCCAAAGTGGCGAAGAGGTCTCCAGGGGTTCAGAAGAGGTTGTAATCAAGGATGACTCCTCCTCAGAAGCCCTCTTGAAGCGGGAGATGAACAGGTACCTGCACTCCCTGCGTCACGAGAACGCAAGGGAGAAGCGGTATCACCAAAGCTCTGCCTCCTCAGCCCAGAACATCCCCATGAAGGTGCAGAACCTTTCCGCTGTTAGACCCATCACGGCTGATATCTCAAGCACCTCGGTCCTAGCCAGCCAGGTCACTAAGGCCGTTGGGTTCATCCCGAGCGTCTCCCGCGACGAGTACGAAAGTCTCTGCAGGAAGACGGCGCACCCGACGGCCAGGTTCCCCAGGGCTCCTGCTGCCGCCCTGCCGCCCATCGCTGGTACCAACCCCAGGGAAATGCTGCTCATTAAGAGATTCGATGGGGAGGTTAAGGGGATGCAGTTACCCCGACAACGAGAGAGGAAGAACTAGAGATGACCTGTCAAGACAGGAGTGAACCACATGGAGGTGGAGCGGCAATAGGTATATGCATGCGCGTTCGATAAAGTGGCCCTTGGTTTATTTTCTGCCAACTTTTATATAAAGCAAGTAGCTTTCAGCGTTGGTGGCAGTATTTTTGCCCAGGTGAGACTACGACCCCGGCGGTCCGAGTGGCACGTGTGCAAGTTTTGGAAGTTGAACAATTGAGTAGCATTGTAAATTAATTTGAAATTTTTTCGTCAAGAAAAAAAGAAAAAGTTTCTCATTTTGTCAAAATTAAAATATATATATATAAGGTTAACCCTTAAAATCGAAATTTTTATATAAAACCTTAATTTTTCATGAAATTTTGCCGAAAAAAAATAAATTTATTCTTAATGACATTTCTATCCCGAAATCGAGTTTGAATGTGTTTGAGGGTCCGTAAGGACTCTTCTTGGAATTTTTGAGCAATTTTATTTTTTGACCCAATATTGACAATAATTGTAATAACCTTACCTTTTTATGAAATTTGCCCCCCCCCCCCCAACAAAAATTGAATTTCTTCTCAATGACATATCTATTCGGAAATCGAGTTGGAATGTGTTTGATTGTCTCTTAGGAGTCTTTCTAGGAAGTTTGGAGCAATTTCGGGTTTTTTTTAAAACAAATTGACAAAAATTGCAAGGGTTAACCTTTCTTGTTTATGAAATTTGGCACAACAGTAATTAATTTTTTCTTTATGACCTTTCTATCCCGAAATCGAGTTGGAATGTATTTGAGGGTCCCTTGTGAGTCTTTCTAGGAAGTTTGGAACAATTTCATTTTTTTTGACAAAAATATTTTTATGACATTTTACCGGAAAAAAAATAATTTCTTCTTAATGACATTTCTATGCCGAAATCGAGTTGCAATGTGTTTGAGGGTCCCTTATGAGTCTTTCTAGAAAGTTTAGAGCAAACATCATTTTTTGACCAAAACAGACAAAAATTGGACCTTGGGAGTCTTTCTACAATGTAGGAAGTTTGGAACAATTTCATTTTTTGACCAAAATTGACAAAAATTCCAAGGCGTTAACCCTACTTTTTTATGATATTTTGCCGAAAAAAGCATTTCCTCTTAATGACATATCTATGCCGAGATCGAGTTGGGATGTGTTTGAGGGCCTCTAAGAATACTTTCCATGAAGTTTGGAACAATTCATTTTTTTGGCCAAAATTGACACATATTTCAAGGGTAACTTGTTTATGAAATTTTGCCGAAAAAAATATGAAGTTCTTCTTAATGACATATGTATCCGGAAATCGAGATGGAATGTGTTTGAGGGTCCCTTAGGAGTCTTTCTAAAAAGTTTGGAGCAATTTCATTTTTTGACCAAAATTGACAAAAATTGCAAGGGGTTAACCTTACTTTTTTATGAAAATTGGCTCCCCAAAAGAATTTTTCTCTTAATGACATATCTAACCAGAAATCGAGTTGGAATGTGTTTGAGGATCTCTTAGGAGTCTTTCTAGAAAATTTGGAGCAATTAAATTTGTTGACCAAAATTGACAACAATTTCAAGGGGTTAACCTTCCTTTTTTTATGAAATTTGGCCAGAAAAAGAGATGAGTTTCTTCTTAATGACATTTCTATCTCGAAATCGAGTTGGAATATGTTTGAGGGTCCCTTAGGAGTCTTTCGAGGAAGTTTGGAGCAATTTCATTTTTTGACCAAAGGTAATAGCCTTACTTTTTTTTTTGAATTTTGCCGAAAAAATATGAAGTTCTTCTTAATGACGTATGTATCCGGAAATCGAGATGGAATGTGTTTGAGGGTCCCTTAGGAGTCTTTCTAGGAAGTTTGGAGCAATTTCATTTTTTGACCAAAATAGACAACAATTGCAAGGGGTTAACCTTACTTTTCTATGAAAACAGGCCCCCCAAAATGAATATTTTCTTAATGACATATCTATCCCAAGGGAGTCTTCGCAGGAAGTTTGGAACAATTTCATTTTTTTGACCAAAATTGACAAACATTCCAAGGGGTTAACCCTACTTTATTATGAAATTTTGCCGAAAAAAAAGCATTTCCTCTTAATGACATATCTATGCCGAGATCGAGTTGGAATGTGTTTGAGGGTCTCTAAGAATACTTTCCATGAAGTTTGGAACAATTTCATTTTTTTTGCCAAAATTGACACAAATTTCAAGGGGTTAACCCTACTTTATTATGAAATTTTGCCGAAAAAAAGCATTTCCTCTTAATGACATATCTATGCCGAGATCGAGTTGGAATGTGTTTGAGGGTCTCTAAGAATACTTTCCATGAAGTTTGGAACAATTTCATTTTTTTTGCCAAAATTGACACAAATTTCAAGGGGTTAGCCTTACTTGTTTATGAAATTTTGCCGAAAAAAATATGAAGTTCTTCTTAATGACGTATGTATCCGGAAATCGAGATGGAATGTGTTTGAGGGTCCCTTAGGAGTCTTTCTAAAAAGTTTGGAGCAATTTCATTTTTTGACCAAAATTGACAAAATTTGCAAGGGGTTAACCTTACTTTTTTTATGAAAAATTGGCTCCCCAAAAGAATCATTTTCTTAATGACATATCTAACCAGAAATCGAGTTGGAATGTGTTTGGGGGTCTCTTAAGAGCCTTTCTAGGAAGTTTGGAGCAATTAATTTTTTTGATCAAAAATGACAAAAATGTCAAGGGGTTAACCTTACTTTCGTTATGAAATTTGGCCAAAAAAAAGATGATTTTCTTCTTAATGACATATTTATCCCGAAATCGAGTTGGAATGTGTTTGATGGTCCCTTACGAGTCTTTCTAGGAAGTTTGGAGCAATTTCATTTTTTTGACCAAAATTGACAAAAATTTCAAGGGGTTAGCCTTACTTTTTTATGAAATTCCCCCCCCCCCCCAAAATATGAATTTCTTCTTAATGACGTATGTATCCGGAAATCGAGATGGAATGTGTTTGGGGGTCCCTTAGGAGTCTTTCTAGGAAGTTTGGAGCAATTTCATTTTTTGACCAAAATAGACAAAAATTGCAAGGGGTTAACCTTTCTTTTCTATGAAAACAGGCCCCCCAAAATGAATATTTTCTTAATGACATATCTATCCCAAAATCGAGTTGGAATGTGTTTGAGGGTCGCTTAGGAGTCTTTGAAAGAATTTTGGAACAAGTTAATTTTTTGACCAAAATTGACAAAAATTTCAAGGGGTTAACCTTACTTTTTATGAAATTTGGCCAGAAAATAAAATGATTTTTTTCTTAATGACGTATCTATCCCAAAATCGAGTTGGAATTTGTTTGAGGGTCTCTTAGGAGTCTTACTGGGAAGTTTGGATCAATTTCATTTTTTGACCAAAATTGACAAAAAATTTCCAAAAAAATTATTTTGGGGAGCCAATTTTCATAGAAAAGTAAGGTTAACCCCTTACTTTTCTATGAAAATTGCCTCCCCAAAATAATGTTTTTCTTAATGACATATCTAACCAGAAATCAAGTTGCAATGTGTTTAAGGGTCCCTTAGGAGTCTTTCTAGGAAGTTTGGAGCAATTTAATTTTTTGACCAAAATTGACAAAAGTTTCAATGGGTTAACCTTACTATTTTTATGAAAATTTGCCGAAAAAAATTGATTTTCTTCTTAATGAAATTTCTATACAGAAATCGAGTTGCAATGTGTTTGAGGGTCCCTTAAGAGTCTTTCTAGGAAGTTTGGAGCAATTTCATTTTTTGACCAAAACTGACAAAAATTGAAAGGGGTTAACCTTATTTTTTTATGAAATTTTGCCGAAATACTTCTTCTTTATAACATTTCTATGCCGAAATCGAGTTGCAATGTGTTTGAGGGTCCCTTAGGAGTCTTTCTAGGAAGTTTGGAGCAATTTCATTTTTTGACTAAAATTGACAAAAATTGCAAGGGGTTAACCTTAATTTTTTGTGTGTGAAATTTTGCCGGGAAAAAAAAGCATTGCTTCTTAATAACATATTTTTTCCCGAAATCGAGTTGGAATGTGTTTGAGGGTCCCTTAGGAGTCTTTCTAGGAAGTTTGGAGCAATTTCATTTTTTGACTAGGTAGCCGGGAGTAATCCTGAATCCATCAAAGTCCCTCAACTGTTCAACATGGAGGTATCCTGAATCCATCCAAATCCTGCATTACCGCTAGGCTCACTGTCCTGAATCCATCAAAATCCTCCAACTGTTTCAAAATGGAGGTATTCTGATTCCGCCAAAATCCTCCAAAACAGGGGTGTGAATTTTGATGGATTTAGGTACGTTAGGGTTAATGGTGAATGATTTCAATGGAAATCTGTTGATGGGTGCATGCACAGCAATGCTCCCATCAAGAAAGAAATCGCCACTTCTTCCACTCACTACTGTAGGAATAATTGTCAAAAGTTTATTCCAATGCTTTTGCATCAAAAGTAACAATGAACAGTTATCTCAAATGAGGAAAGATAAACAATGATAAAAATGGTTCCACTATTCCACAAGAACTACAATCCTGGCCAAATCTCGCTGGCCCCCAACCCCCCACTCAATGTTGTCTCTCATTGCGCGGCGTGTGCTCCATCCGCTGGAGAGAACAACATTGACCGGGGGAGCCGAGTTGGTGACCGTTGGAGGCTAAGGTTATTTCCAAGTGTCCCAACCATTTTGGCCGGGATTGTAGGTTTTTTTTAATTACATGCGTTGGGTTCAAAACACACACACGTTTGACACCATGTAAGCACTTTTGGATAATAATACTGAACTTAAGGTAACACAATGAATAGATAAACTAATTAAAGGCCAGTTCAAAAATTTGGTTTGTAACTGACACATGCAGCAGAAATGGCACCGAGACTGGTTGAATAATGGTAATTTACATTGAAAACTGTGCTTATTTTCAAGCAAAGCTTTTTTTCATGAGACATGCTTTTAAACTGTAACAAATAGTCCAAGTCTTTTAGTTATCACCACAAATACTTGCTAAACGTTTACAAAATTAGACGGAAAGTCACATCCTTACCCCACTGTACTGGAAAATAACAATTTCAATTTTCTGATCATTTTGTGGTGACGCGTCACAATGAATGTCTGCCATGATGAGGGTATGATACGCGGATGGCACGTGCAGTGTGGTATCGACCTGTAGACCTTTATCATGCTGCCACCATTTCAGTCATGTTCCCTGTGACCAATAACAGTACTGAATGATAATGTTTTTTGTGCAAAAAGGAACCAGACTATTTTTTTCTACCAGCCTTGCTTTGGTTATGTTGATTTGAATGGGGAAAAAATCAAGATGG